AACCCGGCTCCCCTGCATTGACAGGCGGATTCTTAACCACTGCGCCACCAAGGAAGCCCCCCATATTGCATTTTAAAAAAATAAATTTATTTATTCATTTATTTATTTTGGCTGTGTTGGGTCTTCGTTTCTGTGCGAGGGCTTTCTCCAGCTGCGGCGAGCAGGGGCCACTCCTCATCGCGGTGCGCAGGCCTCTCACCGTCGCGGTCTCTCCCGTTGCGGAGCATAGGCTCCAGACGCGCAGGCTCAGTAGTTGTGGCTCACGGGCCCAGCTGCTCCGCAGCATGTGGGATCCTCCCGGACCGGGGCACGAACCGGTGTCCCCTGCATCGGCAGGCAGACTCTCAACCACTGCGCCACCAGGGAAGCCCTAAATTGGTCGTTTTTAAACTCTACATTCCTCTACAATTATATGTTAGGCTTCCAATTGTAGAAGAACTTTCCCTACACCCTTTCCTCCCTTCCACCCCCTCCCTTCCTCCTTCACTCTGTGTCTCTCTCTAACATTTTCAGAATCAGTATGAACTCATGGGTTCTTTTTTTATTCAGTGCTTTAGTTGATCACAGCCGTTATTCATTCTGATGCTCAAAGTGTCCCTGCCTTGGCCATCAGGAACTCCTTCAAGCTGATTCTTTGTCCTTTGACATGTTTCCATCATTCCTTGAGCACTGCCTTACTTTTGTGATGCAACGAGATGTTCCAGGCTCTTCTTTTCTTCCCCCTGCTTATTTATTTATTGAAGTATAATTGACCTACAACACTGTTAGTCCCAGATGCATAACAGTGATTTTATGTTTCTATACAATACAGAATTTATCAACATGATAAGTCTAGTTACCATCTGTTACCACACAAAGTTATTACAATGTTATTGACTCTATCCCCCATGACTCTTTGATTTTTGTACTGGAAGTTTGTACCTCTTAATGTCCCTCACCTATTTCATGCACCCCCCACCCCTCTGGCAACTACCAATTTGTTCTCTGTATCTATGAGTCTGTTTCTGCTTTGTTATGTTTGTTCATTTGTTTTGTTTTTTAGATTCCACATATAAGTGAAATAATGTGTTATTTGTCTTTCTCTGTCTGACTTATTTCACTAAACGTAACACCCACTAGGTCCATCCATGTTGCCGCAATGGCAAGATTTCATTCTTTTTTTATGGCTGAGTAATATTCCATTGTATGACACTTAGGTTACTTACATATCTTGGCTATTGTAAATAATGCTGCAATGAATATAGGGGTGCACATATCTTTTCTTTCTTTTCTTTTTTGTTTTTGGCTGTGTTAGGTCTTCGTTGCTGCACGCAGGCTTTCTCTAGCTGCAGCAAGTGGGGGCTAATCTTCGTTGAGGTGCGCAGTCTTCTCATCGCAGTGGATTCTCTTGTTGCAGAGCACTGGCTCTAGGCACGTGGGCTTCAGTAGTTGTAGCACGTGGGCTCAGTAGTTGTGGCTCATGGGCTCTTGAGCTCAGGCTCAGTAGTTGTGGTGGATGGGCTTAGTTGCTCTGCGGCATGTGGGATTTTCTCGGACCAGGGGTCAAACCTGTGTCCCCTGCATTGGCAGGTGGATTCTTAACCACTGAGCCACCAGGGAAGTCCCCTCATTGCAGTTTTGATTTGATTAGTGATGTTGAACCTCTTTTCATGTGTCTCTTGACCATCTGTATGTCTTCTTTGAAAAAAATGTATATTTGGGTCCTCTGCCTATTTTAAATCAGATTTTTTTTGTTGTTATTGAGTTGTATGAGCTCTTTATATAGTTTGGATGTTAATTCCTTATCAGATATGATTTGCAAATATTTTCTCCCATTCTGTAGGTTGCCTTTTCATTTTGTTGATGGCTTCCTTTCTGCAGAAGCTTTCTAGTTTGGGGGCTCCGGACGCGCAGGCTCAGTGGCCATGGCTCACGGGCCCAGCCGCTCCACAGCATGTGGGATCTTCCTGGACCGGGGCACGAACCCGTGTCCCCTGCATCAGCAGGCGGACTCTCAACCACTGCACCACCAGGGAAGCCCCATACTGTTTTGATTACTGTAGTTTTGTAGTATAGTGTGAAATCAGGGAACATGATACCTCTTCAGGTTCATCTTGTTCTTTCCCTGCTCCAGCCCTGGAATCAGCCATTTTCCAAAGAGCCTTGGTTCCTTTCCAAGGAGAGTGGTTTTTAGAAGCCAATATTTGGCTGTCAAGCATGGCCCCATTTTGAAGGTAGAAAGAGCAGAATTTACAGATTGGATGTAGGCTATAAGAGAAAGAGAAGCGACCAGATACCCTTCAGCTTTTTAAGACATTTCTTCTCTGGAGTCTTCTTAGACCCTCCCTCAGGCTGAATCTTGCCCCTATTGAAGCAAGTATTCTATTATTTGCATTATTTATACACAAGCATGTCTCTAAATGTATCATAGTTATTAAGTATCAGCTTGTGGTACTACCTGGGAGATCCTTATCCTTGGCCTCGATCCCTTAGACCAACATGGTTTTGAAGCTCATCTCTAGCACTTGCTGGTTGTCTGAGCCTCAGCAAGTCTCTTAACTGTTTTTTCTCAGTTTCTTCACCTGTAAAGTTAGGGTAATGATATGAATCTCACAGGGTTGTTGTGAAGAGTGAGTGCTATGTGAATGCAATGTGCTGGGCACGCCAGCCTGGCCCATTCTAAATGCCTAGGGCACATTACTTAACCTCTCTGTACCTTGACTTCCTCACCTGTAAAATGGGCTTGCCGTGAGGAATGGCTGGAATCATGCACAGAGAATGTTTTTTTCTGTACTTGGCCAACTGCTACTATAGAGTTTTCTAAGTTTTGTTCTTCTGGGATGTCTTGAGGGCAGTGACCACCCCTTGTTCACATTTTCATCATCTCTCCCTGCACCCCAGGGTCTACGCTCTGTGCTGGTCAGACTGTTTTCTTGAGCACTCTGGGCTAGAGCCTGGACCCATCCACATCCTCTCCACTCTCCCCAGAACTGGAGCCTGACATTGAGCCCGGGGAGCGTACAACTTTGTCAGCAGCAATTTGGTTGAAATGAAAATTTTGTCAACAATGTGTTTTGCTTCAGTGATTTTTTTTAAAGGTTGAGAAATTGGGAATCTATATACAGTCTTTTTATTTATTTAATTTATTTATTTTCGGCTGTGTTGGGTTTTCATTGTTGCACGCGGGCTTTCTCTAGTTGTAGTGAGTGGGGCCTACTCTTCGTTGCGGTGCGCAGGCTTCTCATTGCGGTGGCTCCTCTTGTTGCGGAGCACGGGCTCTAGGTGTGCTGGCTTCAGTAGTTGTGGCACACGGGCTTTGTTGCTCCGCAGCATGTGGGATCTTCCCGGACCAGGGCTCAAACCCACGTCCCCTGCACTGACAGGTGGATTCGTATCCACTGCGCCACCAGGGAAGTCCTATATGCAGTCTTACAAATATTTTTGTTGATTTTCTTCTTAATTAAAAAAATTTTTTTAACCTCCAATTACTTTGCAGCCAATTATTCCTACTTTTCTGTTTGCAACAGCAAAATGTTGAAACAACCTAATGTCTGACAATGAAATGTTTTCCTTCCTTCCTCCCTTTTGTTCAGTAAAAAAAAGAAAAGCAAGGAACATTATGTATAATAAAATCTAATACTATAAAAAATACATGTGTATATGCATATATACCCTGTTACCAGGGTCTATCTGGTGGTGTCGGTACGGAGCTTTTTCACTTTATACACTGCTGCCTGGTGGGAGAGGCAATCCACCCCAGCCCCGAGCTTCCCTGCACACTCTTGCTGATATGCCCGCAACACAAGGTCCTGGCCGCTCTACATCCAGGCCGTTTCTCAAGGTTGTGTTTGCAGTGAGTAACGCTGAGGGATGAAGTAATGTCTCCCTTCAGGACAAAGAGCAAGCTTGCTTACCACCTACTCGAAAAGAAGGAAATTCTCCAAGCTCAGTGTTCCTCAGCTGTGGGGCAAGCCTCTCCGTGGTCACCCCTGTGGGGCTCAGGGGGGTAAGTGGAACTGAAGCAGACGGCGCTCCTGCTGAGCAATGAGTTTGCTGAGCAATGAGTAGTGGATTCCTATGTCTGTGATCCAGGAGTCTCACGTCTTTGTCAGACTAACTCGTTAGCTTGTGAGTGGGGTACAATCCCAGGCCCTGACATTGGCCTGTTTCAATCATCTATCATGTACATGCATTATTACTTTTACAACATAAAAATCAGTTTTGATTTTTTTAAAAGAAAGGCAAAAAACCGTACACATACTGAGAGTCAAAGCTTACAAATGAAAGGAAAATAAGAAAACATCAAACACCCAAAGAAGAAAGTAAAGAATTCTCTACTCATACCTACCCAGTGAAACTTGTTAATACCTCAGTGAATACCTTTTCAGACTGCCTTCCATGTAGATTCCCACATTTTTATTAGTCTTCTGCAAAAGTAAGATCATAGCATATACAGTGCTTAATAACCACCTTGATTTAGTCAGGCAGTCCACGACTGGGGGCCATTGTAGTGACCTACCCCTGCAAGCTTCTTGAGAAGTCAAGAGCCCACCAGGGATTTCACACAGCCTGCAAAGCCTTCCACTGCCCCAGCCAGAGTCGAGGGCTTCCTCTTGCCCTGGTACTTCCTGGGAGCTCTTGGGGCAGGAGAAGTGTTAGCCTTGGGTGCTGGCCTAACAGCTCGGGGACCACAAAGGCAAAGGAAACCACCTTCCCCTCCCATCTCCTCCTCTGCACCCCCTGGTTCTCAAGCATGCATTTCCACCACCCCTGCTCTGACACATATCCCTATCCCAGCTTCACGGCTTGCCATCCCATTTTCCAGAGGAGACCCGGGAATCCCCATTCCAGACCCCGCCCACCATCCCCACCTGCTTCAGCTGAGACCCCAGAGCCCCTGTCATCATCTCAGACCCTGAAAGAGCGAGTGATGCCTCTCTCATCACACGGCAATGTAGGAGCAGGGCGGGTGGGGCAGGATGCTGGGGTGGGTGGAGCCAGGGCCACTTCCTTTCCCCTTGAGGCCCCACCACCAGTCTTGCCCCAGCTTCAGGAGTTGGAGCAGCCTGGTCCCAGCCCTGTGCCCTTATCCACTGAGCTGGTAAGTGGTGTGGCCTGGTGGGGCAGGGGCTTCAGTGGACCTGGGAATGTGCCTCTGGCTTGAGAAGACCTTGATAGATAATGGGAAAAGAGGACGAGGAGCCATTGGGGCTGAATGGGGTCAGCGCAGGCCAGGAGGGGGTGGGCTGTTGCTGGAGCCGGGGCTGCCAACGCCCAAGGGGGCCTATGGGGTAGATTCGATGGGGGAGCTGCCAGCGTCTTGTTACTTCTGATACTAGTAAAAGCAAGGGTGGAAAAAGCCGTTGAACCGCAGAGTTGGGCCCGGCAGTTGGCAGGGAAGTGGGCAGGAGGGAGGGCCTGGCTAGGTCCTGCCCCCCGCCCCCAGCTCCTTATGTATTCTATTTCTTCAACTTCCCCACCCTCAGGTCCCAACTCCTGCTCATGCCTGTTGCTTTGGAAATGATCCTGCTTCTCCTCCTCTTTGGGAGCGTCTGGGCCCAAAACACGAGCTCAGAGTCTCCGGATGGCACAATTACTTTGCAGGAGTTGGAACCCACAGGGTCCTCTGCTTCTTTGGTCTCAAATATCTACGAGACCACAAAATTCAACTCAATGACATCTAATTTTGCAACAACCGAGGTCCCTAAGACAGATGACAGCACTGAGCACAAGATCTTCCCGCCTTCCTCAATTCCCTATACAGCCAATGAGGTTTCCTCTCCTGGGACTTCCATTGCTGCCAGCAGGGGCCCTCCTGTAAATGAGTCAATAATCTCCCAGAAAGATTCCGCCAAAACATTATCAATGCCCCTGGAAATCTCTAATGCAACCAGTATACCTGCTGTCCCAGTAGTGAAGTCTGCAGGATTCCACACTACGACTGGTGAAACCATGGCAACTAGCCCTCTGGAGACCTCCAGTGGGACCAGTGGACCCCCTGTCACCACAGCTACTAGCTCTCTGGAGACCTCTGATGGGACCAGTGGACCCCCTATCACCACAGCAGTCAGCTCTCTGAAGACCTCCAATGTGACCAGCGGACCCCCTGTCATCATGGAAACTAGCTCCCTAAAGACCTCCAAGGAGACCAGTGGACTTCCTGTCACCATGGCAACTACGTCTCTGAAGACCCCCCTGGGGACCAGTGGCTCCCCCACCTTTGGAGTAAAAATATCCAGCCCAACGTCCTCCACAAGCAGTAGGTCCTCCCCAAATTCAGGCTGGGAGACAAATGGCACCTTGCTGGTAGCTGTGCTTGTGGCCCTGCTGGTGGTCATTTTCCTCATGGCACTACTCCTGCTGTGGCGCCAGCGGCAGAGGCGGAAGACAGGAGTACTGACACTCAGCAGGGGTGGAAAACACAACGGGGTGGCAAATGCCTGGGCTGGGGTAGCCCAGGTGTCTCATGAGGAGGCCGCGATAATAACAGAGGGAGCGTCTGGGGGTAACAATGACTCTGGGGTCCCCCAGGGGGAGGGGTCTGGCCAGCGGCCCACACTTACCACTTTCTTTGGTAGACGGAAGTCTCGCCAGGGCTCCGTGGCGCTGGAGGAGCTAAAGCCTGGGCCATCCTCCAGCCTAAAGGGGGAGGAAGAGCCACTGGTGGGCAGCAAGGATGAGGCTGCGGAGACCTCTGCTTCTGATGGGCCAGGAGAGAGAGATGTGGAGGCCCCTTAACGTTTGAGAATAATAAGACTGGAGCTCAGAATCGTTCCCGCTTTCATCACCTTCCCTCCTGTCATCATCACCCAGCATTCTCACCCAGCACCCTTTGGATTTTCACCCAGCATCTTCACCCTGAATCATCATTCAGCTCTTCTAGTCAGCAGCCCATGCAGCACCCACATCCAGCGTGTAGATCAGGGCTGACACCCACTGAACCCTTGTAGATTGAATGAACGAACTTTCCTCATCAACCCCTACTTCTCCCCATCACATTTTCTCCACATTTCTGTCCTTGAAACCAGCTGTTGAGTCTCCGTAAAGGCCAAACTTCCTTGACTTACGATTTCTCAGAGGATTCCCCAGGAATACCAGAGTCTGGGAAGAAGAGGAAATGGCAACCCAGCAAACTCCCACCTTAGGATTACTCTGGAAAGTACATTTGGCCCCATGGATTAGGACAGTCCTACCGGCTCAGCCCATGAACTGCCTTTAACTCCAGGCGCCAGTGCTCTGTGCTAGGCCAGCCTGGAGCATGGGCTGGGTGGTGTCACCCAGCTGTGGTCTCAGGTGCGTCTGAGACGGCCCCTGGACCCTAGGCTGGCTCACGGTCCCAGCCACCACATTCTCCCCCAACTCTGGACTGAGGCAGCCAGAGGCTTCAGCTGTTTCTCCTCCCAAGAGCAGAGGTGAGAAGAGTTTCTGGGCAGATGTAGTTCTTAGAAGTCTCGGCATCTGCGTGGGTCCACTCATGCATGCAGTTTGTGTGCAAGAGGCGAGGACTCGGTGATGCTTGTGAAGGGCAGTGTCGAGCACAGTTGGGTGAGGGAGGGGGCAGGAAGGGCTGCAGAGGCTGAGGAGATGCCGCCCTCAGGAGGTGCTGAGAACATAGGCACCCTCGTCTTTGCTCCGATGGGGTGGAGGTGGAAGATTAAATTCCGTCTGTGGCAGGGCTTGACAGAAAGACTGCATGTGTGACCAAGTGTGGTTCTTCAGCTCAGCCGCTATGTCCCTTCCTCAAAGCCCCCCCCCTCCACCCCCCCTCTCCCCAGTGCACACACGAGAGTCCCAGGTCATGCTGATGCTGTTACAAGTTTAATGTGTTTGTCTGTATCCCCTCTTCCATTCTACAAGGAGGGTCAGTGAGAGAGTGAGCTGTGACAGGCCTCCAGAACCAGGGGCATCCCTGTGGCTCTGGGATGGAGAGGAGGGGACAAGACCCAACTGTGCTATCTCTGAGACCAGCCCAGGCCAGAACCCAGGGCACCGCATGGACCAGAGGCCGTTGGTATTTCCCCAGGGCAAAGAGGAAATTTGCAAAGAGGAAGTTGTTGAGTCAGAGGAGCAGTGGATGAGAGCAGACACATTGACCTACAAAAGGAGAGGCCACGCAACTCCATGAGAGCGTGACTGCCAGGTGGTTTGGATTGGAGGGGACACCAGAGGCTGGGAAAGGGCCCCCAGGTGGGTCAGTTCATGGGGGTGTGGAAGAGGGATGAGGAGAGAAGTGGCGGAAAGTGGCCACGGATCCGCCCGGAATTCTGCCACCCATGCCTGGGCGAGCTGGGGTGGAAATCCTGCCTTGACCACGCAAACCTGGGCGCCTTTTCTTTCTCTTTCTTGGACGTGCCACACAGGCACAAGGGGTCTTAGTTCCCCGACCAGGGATCGAACCTGCACACCCCTCCTCACCCCGGCCAAAATAAATAAATAATAAAATATTGAAAATACTAATTTTGTCCTGACAGTAAAATAACATTTTTCTTCTTTTGCAAAACTACCAGCACATTCTAGTTTCTTAAATAACAGCATTCTCGGGCTTCCCTGGTGGCGCAGTGGTTGAAAGTCCGCCTGCCGATGCAGGGGACGCGGGTTCGTGCCCCAGTCCGGGAAGATCCCACATGCAGCGGAGCGGCTAGGCCTGTGAGCCATGGCCGCTGAGCCTGCGCGTCCGGAGCCTGTGCTCCGCAACGGGAGAGGCCGCAACAGTGAGAAGCCCGCGTACCGCAAAAACAAACAAACAAACAAAAAAAAAAAACAGGATTTTCTCTCACACACAACCATATACAGTGTATTATTCTTCATCTTATATTTTAAAATGCATGTTTCTATTTTATTTTCAATAGTACACATTAAGATCATGGTTACAAATACAGCTTTGTCATCCAGTGCAAACTCCAGATGGAAGAAGGATTTGGATGGGGACGATCTTGAGAAGTCTATTAATGTAATTCACTTTTGCAGACAGGAAAAGGGCCTCCGAGCATGGTTCTATGGACATTTCATTTCTGAAAATGGACATTTACGCCTCATTTTCCTCTGCATCCGTATTTCTGCTCCTGTTCTGGGGAGGTTGGGGGTCGAGCCATTAGCCATCAGAAAACCCAGGGTATTTTGGAGACCATCTACATGTCCCCAGCAATGAGCTGCCAATGGGTGCCTGTGTGCCTTAGCCCCTTGGGGTGCTTAGCATCTGCCTGCCCAGCTAGTGGCTTCAGGACAGCCTAGCTGGACCATGCCCCAGATCCCCAAAGCTGCCGGCCATGGAAAGGGCCACATGCTCACTCCTGCGTTTGCGCATGCTCTGCCAGAAGCCTGTGCACCCCCGTCCTGTCCCACCACACACACATCTTGACTTCCCGCCAAACTCCTCTCAACCATCAAGATGTAGTTCAAATGTCACTGCCTTTGCGAAGCCGCCCCTGCTGCCTCTATCCCAAACAGATAGAGTATTTCTCTTCCACTCTTACAGCACCTTGCGTGACAGTACAAACAACTGGACTGTAATCACGTGAAGGTGTCCCCCATTCATTAGGGTGTAGCCCCTTCAAGTCCACCTGTCATCTTTGTGGCTCCAGAGGCCAGAGCCTGGCATGTCTACCTAATATATGTTTACTGAATGGAGAGGTGAATGGATTAATGAATGAGCAAACAATGGTTTTCAAGTAAACCATGGCAAGGTCAGATCTGTCCTTTGAATGAAACTGGCATCCAGGAGCATGGCCTGAGGCAGTGGGACCTGAGACGGGAGCATTAGTCTAGTTCAAGTTAGATAGAGTGGGAGTCTGGCCTAAGGTGAAAGAAGAGGTCAGGTTTGAAATATATTTATTCAGAGAATAAGGTTTTTAGAACTAATTGACTATTGAGGTGATGGGGGAAGAATGAGGTTAGACTCTTAAAGTTTCTGTCTTGGAAAATGGAGGAGATGCTGACATCACTATGTGGAAATGCAAAGAGGTGAGCAGTTTGGGGGGAAAACACGAGTATTTATTTATTTATTTTTTATTTATATTTTGGCCACACCGCGCACTTTGCAGGATCTTAGTTCCCCGACCAGGGATTGAATCTGGGCCACAGCAGTGAAAACGCTGAATCCTAGCCACTCGACAACCAGGGGACTCCCCATGAGGGGTGTTAGAAGTAGAGGCCTGGAAGTTGCAAGGGAAGTCAGAGCTGGAGATATAGATTAAGGAGTTATCTGATGTTAGATAGCAATTTAAATAATGGCATTGGTGGATAAATGCATAAACTGTGTAGAATGAGAAAAGGAGAGAGCTGTGGAGAGAAGCTTCATGTGTTAGTCAGGGCAGGCTAAGTGCTGTAACAAACAACCCCCAATTCTCAGGGGTAGAACTCAAGAGAAGCTTTTTCCTTGCTTATGTAACAATTTAATGTTGGCATTTGGAGGGTGACCTTCCATGAGGTCATTCAGGGACCCAGACTCCTTCCATCTTGTGGCTCTGTCATTCCCAGGGCGGATCATGGGAAGACTAGAGCGACACGCATCACTTTTGCTCACATTCCATTGGACAGAATTCAGTCATATGGTGGCCTCCATGCAAAGGAGGCTGGGAAATGTAGTTTAGCTTGTGCCCAAGAGGAAAAGAGGAACAGTCCCGCCACACTGAGGGGACACCACAGTTTGAGGGCTCCCTGTAGGAAGAAGGACCTGTAGGAAACAGAAAAGAGCCTTTAGGAGAGAAACCAGGAGAAAATGACATCTCGGGGGGAAAAAGGGAGAAATAGTTTGGAGAAGGGCTGTCAGGAGCTGACCTGGACTAGAGTGAGGCAAGCAAGGCAGTAAGGTGTAAAATGGAGCTTGAGAGTGAGACCTTCTTCAGTTTTGTGCCCCAGGACCCTTGCTTGCCTCACCCAAGTCCAAGTCCTGGCAGGGTCACATGCTGCAGAGGCAGAAATGGGAGAAGGCTGGGAAGAGGCCAGTGTCTGGCAATCAGTGGTCCCAGAGGCTTTAGCAAGTGGTTCTGATGAAGAACTGGAGTCCCCAGCACTTCTGGGACAGGAACTTGCCTGAAGTCACAGTACAATAATTGGCAGTTTCCTGGTTTTCTTGTTCAGAAGCCCGGCTCTGATCTGCTCAGGGCCCTTAAAGTACCTTGGGAAGAAGGAAGAGAAGGAAATGGCTTTTTGTTGAGTTTCTACTCTGTGTCACCTGCAGAATTTTTTCACTTGATTCTCAGTTGAAGCCATGAGGTTGGTATTATCCCATTTTACAGCTAAGGAAATGGAGGTGCAGAAAAAGGTAAAGAAGTATTTGAGATCAAAAAGAAGGGAAGTAGGATTTTCCCAGTGCACCATCAAAAACGCTCTCCAGCCATCACAGGGAGCACACCCTGGGGCAGGGTCAGGGAGGATGGGTGAGTGGAGAGAACAGGGCCGAGGCTCAGAGAGGAGAGGACTTCTGAGTTATATGACTGAGTGTCCTGGAGGCCAGAGGGAGCCCCAGAGAACCAGGGCAGGGCCAGTCAGGGCTGGTCAGACCGGCCCCTCCCCCCCCCCCTCCCGCCCCACCCCCTCCCCCAGTCTCCGGCCTCTCCAAACACTAGACGGAGCTGTGGGCACACCAGTCGGCCAGCTCCAGGCTGTCATGGACCCTGAAGGTAAAGAAGCCTCCCAGACCTCTCTCCCCTGTATCCCTACATCACCACCTGCCCCTCTCCTGCCCATCACCCATCCCATCTTATCTCCGTCCCCATCCCCCACCTTCCCCAAGTCTTCGCTGGTCTCTAACTACTCTCTTACCCCTCCCCCATCTCCCTCCAACCTCTCTGAACCCAAGCACTCCTTTCTGCCCTGCAAAGACCTCTTCTCACTCTTCTTTATCCTTCTACGATAGGTTCCCAAGTGAGCTCTGGGGAAGAAAGGGGCTTGAGCCCCAGGAAATTCAGGGGTGGCCTGGAGTAGGCCACATCTCCTGGGGACTGAAGTGGCCGGGCAGTGGGAGGCTGGACCTGGAGCAGCTCTGGACTTTGCCCCTCACTAGCAGCTCTGGAGGAGTGAGGCAAAGTCCTGTCCCATCTGCCTCGGGGTGGGGGAAGGGAGCCTGAGTCCTGTGATCCCTGTGATTCCTGTGCATTTGGGGAGTGACATTGTGAAGGAGGCTGGATGCAGGATGATACACGCCAGGCTCTGGAGTCAAAAGGCTCCTGTTTGAATCCCAGCTCCACCAGGAACAGACTGTGTGTTCTTGAGCAAGTCACTTGATGTCTCAGAGCCTCACTTCCTTGTATTGCAGTATCTGCAAAATGACAATAATAGTTCCCTGCTCACCAGGTTGGGGATGCAGGCGGGCGGGAAACGACATGAGCGTGGAGGGCTCCCTGCAGTTCCACATTCCCCTCCCTGGGCTTCTCCTTCCCCAGCTCCGACCTTCCTCCCCTGGTCTAGGGCTTCTGCTGGCCCCATACCCAGCCCTTCTGGCTTGGCCGTGGAACCAGCTTTTGGGGGTCCAGACTACTTCTTGGTTTAGAAATGATCTCAGAGTCAGAGCCTGGGTTCAAGTCCCATCCCTGCCACCTGCTAGTTGTGTGACAAGATGCTTAGCCTCGCTGTGCCTCGGTTTCCTCATTGATCAGGTGAAAGCAGTGTCTTCCCTTGGGTTGTTGTGAGGATGAAATGAGATCATACACGTCAAGCGGCTGGCACAGAAATCACTCAGTAGTTATGCTGGAGTCACATCCATCACTCCAGTCTGCCTCTCCAGTCCTGAGCCTGTCCCAGGTTCCAGTTCCATTTTGGGGACATGTCCCTGGCGTGTCAAAATCAAAGTCCTCCCCTACGCCAGTTCCATTTCTATTCGTGCCTCACCAGCCTCCTACTCGGACTGGAAACCTCAGGGTCACCTTTGACAGCTCACTCTCCCTTGAACCCCAATATCCAGACAGTTGCTGCATCCTATGGATTTACCTCCACGTCTTTCTGTTCCCACCTCCCTCTGACGGAGCCTTCCTCTGCCTGGCAGCCTTCACGCACGTGATGACACTGATGTTTAACTCTGGGCCAGGCCAGAAGTGTCGGCTCTGGGATCACTGACCTGCGGGAATTAAACCAGGAGGGAGTAGTCGAGTCAGGGGGTGAGGCAAAGGCTGGGGACGTGGGGCAAAGGAGGGCCGAGGACAGAGTTGGGGCAGAAGCAGATGGCAGGCTGGGGGCCAAGGTGTGAGGGGGCGGGGCCAGGTCTGGAGGCATGGTGTGCAGGGAGCGGTCCCCTTACAGATGCCCTGCCCTTAAATTTTACCGGGACTCACTGCTTCCTGGTCCAGGCTGTTGCAACAGCCTTGCAACTTATATCTTTCAAAAATGCTAGGCACAACTTAAACATTTAAACTCACAAGTGCATTTTTGATCAAGTGACTTCTGATCAAAAGTCTTATGGATTTTCCATTGCTTATTTAATGAGAACCTAACTGTTTCCTATCATTCAGGGCCTGCTCAGTCTGGCCCCGTCCTACCACTCAGCCCTCTCTCTCGCTACCCTCCACGTGCAACTTCACCGACTTATACCCCAGGCCTCCCACTGCTGGGCCTTTGCTCTCTCCCATTCTCTCTGCTTGGGGGGCCTTCCTCTCACCTGTCCAATGCCAGCCTATTCTCAGAGCCAACCTTCCTGAGTCTTCTCTTACTGCTCTTGTATCTTAACGACAGGTCATCTCTCCTTGCTCTGAAACCCTATAGGTCATTTTACCACTTGTGTGATGGGCAATCGCATCTGGCTCTATTTGGAGGTCATTTCTCCTCTCTAGGGAGAGAAGGGGAAAAGGAAAGAACATTTATCTGGAAGCTGGGGTGCTAACCAGCCTCTGTCTCCCTCTGGTGTTTGCCAAATGGATCAACAAATAAATAGATGGGAGAACAAAATTGCCGCGAGTCAGACACCTGGGTTCAAAGGCATCTGGCTGGGCATTGGCTCAGGCACTTGACGTGAATCACCCATTCCCTCCTCGTTGTAGCCCTGTGACTTCCTCATGAAACTGACTCTCAGAGAGGTTAGGAAATTGCCTAGGGTCACCCAGCATGTAGGTGGTGGAGCTGGGATTCAAACGAGGCGTTTCTGAACCCCCAACCCAAGCTCTTCCTACTACACCAGGGACAGAGCCCTGGATTCTTGGGTGTGGCTTGTAGAGCTCTGTGAATAGTGATATAATAAATATATAATAATTTTAAGTATAATTTTGTGCTCAGTGTGGTGAGGTTGGGTACATGAGGGGACTCTGGGGCCAGCCCGCCTAGACTTATGATCTTGCCTCCACACTTCCCAGCTGTGTGAACTTTGGGCAAATTACTTGCTTCTTCAGTGCCTCAGTTTCCTTATCTGTAAAATGGAGATAATAATGGTACCTCCTTATGAGGGTTGTTGTGAGGATTAAATGTGTTAATATATAGAATATGCTGGGAACAGTGCTTGGGAAGGACCATAAAAGTGTTAGCTGTTATTATTATTACACATGATGTCACTCTAGATTCTATTACAGACAAGTGGTAGCAGGCACCAGAGTTGGTTTTTTTTTTTTTTTTTTTTTGCGGTACGCGGGCCTCTCACTGTTGTGGCCTCTGCCGTTGCGGAGCACAGGCTCCGGACGCGCAGGCTCAGCGGCCATGGCTCACGGGCCCAGCCGCTCTGCGGCATGTGGGATCTTCCCGGACCGGGGCACGAACCCGTGTCTCTGGCATCGGCAGGCGGACTCTCAACCACTGCCCCACCAGGGAAGCCCAGCACCAGAGTTTTAAGAAAAACTTATAAAGGCAAAACCTTTAAAACTGACGTCTATCTATTTAATGTTTTTTCCTGTAAATTGGGGAAAACAATCATTACTTGGTTTTAGCTGGAACACTTTGTCAGCCTCGTATAACATCACTGTTGCTGCAAGCACAGGCCACATGGTTACACGTGGTTACACATCAAATTAAGAACAAAAACTTGTGATAATTTGTTTTAGGTGCATTTGCAGACCCTGACTTTGTGCCGGCCCATCAAAGGCATGAATGAGTGTTTATTAAATGACTGAAGGAAAGATGCAGAGATGGAAGTTCTGATTCTGGCCCAGTCTCTCCCGGTACAGAGCCACTGGCCAGTTAGGGCAATATAGAAACACAGTAAAAGTCAGTCAACAATCCAGACAAGAACGGCACAAGTGCCAGTGGGGGAAAATGTCTTCAAATATTCTGCCAGAGTCAGTTTATCTATATCGTTTTACATTATTTGTAAAGAGACAAATGCAGGAAATTTCCAGATGCTTTTCCCTCAAAAACAGAGGCACCAATTTTAATAAAATTTAATAAATTAAATTTAATAAAATTCTGGAATAACCAACTAAGAAAGGATTGCCTCGAGAGATCAAGGTTATACCCCGCAGGGTAACACTGTAATCTCTGAAGTCCAGGCATCTTGAGAGAATATTTACATATAACAACGGCAAGAATAAAAAGGGGACAGGGCGTTACAGCTGTTTCCTCTGTGCAGCCACTTCTCCTCAGGCAGCTGCAAAAACAGCCCCACTCCTCTCTGCAGTTCCTTTCGCGACAGTGGCTAATTAGGGGAGCCCTTATTTTCAAAGCTACCCACAGGAATCCCTTTTGTTGGAAATGCACGAGAGAGTTGGGGCCTAAAGAAAACCAGATGTATTTATTTTTCACGAACATTCTGCATTTACAATAGGCGATCAGAACAGCTGATCTTGCCTAAGTGGGCAAGAGAGTAACCCGTGGGTGAAGGCTGTGTGGTTCTAAAACCACCTTCTGTGTGTGGACAGGGAAGACCAGAGTCCATGTCAATCATTTTCTTTTCTCTTTTTCTTTAATGTTTTGAATGGTTTGTTTGTTTTTTTGCCTCGCTGCATGGCCTGTGGGATCTCAGTTCCCCAACCAGGGATCGAACCCGTGCCTCCTGCAGGGAAAGCACAGAGTCCTGACCACTGGATGGCCAGGGAATTCCCATTTTCTAGCTCTGCTCTTTAGGTAATTTCTCTTTGCATTTCTGAGCCTAGGTTCTCTGCCTACAAATGGCCTTTACCATGAAGAAGGACAGGTGGGATTTGTGACATTGTATATATAGCAAGTGCCCGGCATCTGGTAGGCACCAGTGTATGGTAGCTATTGTTCTCTTCCTGCGATTCAGAAGCTCTCAACTCTGCTACAAATTAGAATTAAATTACCACATTCCAGACCAGTTATATCAGAATCTCTGTGGGTGGGACCCAGACATTGCATTTGGCAAGCCTCTCCAGATAATTCCATTGTGTAGTCAAGGTTGAGAATCACTGCTCTATTCATCCTAAAAACACTTTCCTTGGGACTTCCCTGGTGGTCCAGTGGTTAAGACCCCATGTTTCCAATGCAGGGGGCGTGGGTTCGATCCCTTTTCAAGGAACTAAGATCCCGCATGGCATGCGGTGTGGCTGAAAAAAACAAAACTAAACTAAAAACTTTCCTTCACCCTATCTTAAGTGAGGGCCCTCTCTCTCCTTTTCTTATTTACCTATTTATTTTACTTTTTTATTATAGAGAATTTAAAACGTACACAAAAATAAACAGAAAAGTATGATGAATCCTCATGTACCCATCATCCAGCTTCAACAACCACCAAATTTTGGCCAAGCCAGTCCCATCCATACCTTTGCTTTTCTTTTCTTTTTTTTTTGGCTGCGCCACACGGCTTGCGGGATCTTAGTTCCTCAACCAGGGATCGAACCTGTGCCCCCTGAAGTGGAAGCATGGATTCTTAACCACTGGACTGTCAGGGATGTCCCCACACCCTTTCTAATTTCTACCTTCCAAGATTACCTTAAAGTAAAACCAGCTGTCAAGTCTCTTCATACATAAACATCTCAGTATTTTAATATTTTTTATTATTTTTAAAAGATAAGGACTTTTAAAAATTAATTAATTATTGGCTGCGTTGGGTCTTTTTTAAAAATTTTAATTTAATTTTTATTTATTTTATTTTTGGCTGAGTTGGGTCTTCGTTGTTGCGCGCGGGCTTTCTCTAGTTGCCGCGAGCGGGGGCTACAGTTCCTTGCAGTACGTGGGCTTCTTATTGTGGTGGCTTCTCTTTGTTGTGTAGCACGGGTGTTAGGCGCTCGGGCTTCAGTAGTTGTGGCTCGTGGGCTCTAGAGCACAGGCTCAGTAGTTGTGGCGCACGGGCTTAGTTGCTCCGCGGCATGTGGAATCTTCCCGGGCCAGGGCTCGAATCCATGTCCCCTGCATCGGCAAGTGGATTCTTAACCACCGCGCCACCAGGGAAGGCCCAGGACTTTTCTTTTTATCACAACCATAACCCACTTCAAAAAAATGTCCTTAATGTTACCAAATACCCAGTCGGCATTCAGATTTTCAGTTGTTTCATAAAAGTTCTAATTTGGTTTCAATTTGTTTGTTTGAAGTAGTATCCAAATAAGATCCATACATTAGTTTTTCCCCAGCTCTGCCACTGGTTAGTATGCATTTTCGACTCTTTCAATCTTTTGTTTTCCTTGCAATGTATGTGTTGAAGAAATTAGGTTATCTTCTGGAGAGTTTCCTATGGTTGTATCCCCGTGGTATAGTTTAACATGTTCCTCTGTCTTCTGGTTTTCTTGTAATTGGTGGTTGCATCTAGAAGTCTGATCTGACTCCGGTTCAGCTGTTTTGGCAAGAGTATTGCATAGGTCGGGGGATGTTCCATCAGGACCGCCTAGTATCTTTCTTCTGATGTTGGCTTTTGATCCAATACCTGGATTCACTGGGTTATTAGGGTTGCAAAATAGTTTCCTGCCTTTTGGCAGAGCACTGGTTCTTGTTCGTTTGTTCAAGTGGACAATTCAAAGCTTTTTAGTAAATTTACTGAGTTTATGCCACCATCATCATAGGCCATTTCCATCACCCCAGTAAGATCCCACGTCATTTAATTTCCAGCCCCAGACCACCACTATTCTGATGTCTGTCTCTCTTAATTTGCCTTTTCTGGATGTTTCTTATAAACGGAGGGATACAACATATGGTCTTGTGTGGGCATTGGTTGTTAACCTTTCTGTGCATCTGAATCCCAGGTGGAGCATCTCCAAAACCTGGATGCATGGGAACCACCCCGGAAAGATTCTGATTCAGTTGATCTGGAATGCACCTGAGCAGCAGAGTTCAAAAAGCTCCGCACGTGATTCCAACGTGCAGCCCAGGCAGGGGGCCCTGCTTTCTCAACTTCTGCAGAGAGGAGCTGTCCACACCCCTCCCCCGCTTCCTCACCTCCTGTCTGTTCCTTGACCATGACAATGTGGCTTCTGCCCCTACCACAAGGCATTAAGTCTGCCCTGGCAAAGCCCTCCCAGGGGCTAAGTGCAATGCTCACTTTCAGCCTTCTTTCTTCTTTTTTTTCTCTCAGCCTTTCTTCTGCTTTGCTTCTGCTCACACCCTAATTGCAACCCTCTTCTCCTTCCAGACATCCACTCCCTCCTGGTGGGACTTCTGTTTTTGACAGCCACGCCTCTGTGTGACATTCAAATCCTGGCGTTTCCCACAGCCCTCCTCTTTCACCCTGCCCTGGTGATCTTACCCACTCAGTGACCATCTGCACACGCTGGTGGCTCCAATTTCTCCATTCCTCACCCCCAAATCTCCTCTGAACTCCAGAACATTCTTCTACCTGTCCTCTGTGCACAGCCACCCACGTTTCCTGATGGCATCTCGACCTTAACATCTGCAAGACCAAAGGCATTCTGTTTATTTATTTATTTATTGGCCACACTGCGTGGCTTGCAGGATCTTAGTTCCCCGACCAGGGATCGAACCCGCACCCCTGGCAGTGGAAGCATGGAGTTCTAACCACTGGACCTCCGGGAAATTCCCCCAAAGTCATTCCTTTTCCCCAGCTCTGCCGCTCTGTCATACGCTCTGACCCACCCGGAGATCCAGTTTCTGTACCTGTAAAATGGGAATGAGCCTCTGTGGTGAGTTCCAAACGAGAGAGCGTCAGGGAGCTGAGGTGCCGTCGACTGGCCATCACAGGGGCGCAGCCTGTGTGGGTTGCTGATTGCTGCCGAACCCCTCCTCCTCCCCAGCCTACCCTGAACAATTCCTTATGTCAGTTTTCAGCTACCCAGGATGGAAACCCCAGGCTTCTACGTCGTATTAGCTGCCAATTCCAGTAGATTCTACCTTAGAAAATACTCTCCCATTTGCCCCGGCTTGCTCTTCCTTTGGTTACTGCCCCAATTTGGGCCTTCATCAGTTTCTGTCTGGCCAACCGCCCCAGCCTCCTTTTGTCTCCCAGCCCATCTCCATTTGGTGGTTGAAGTGACCTTTCTAGAACAAAATCATATCATTCCCTCATTTAAAATTCTGTGATGGCCCCCGGGCTCTGTACACATTCCTCAGGCAATTGGTTTAGTCCCTTTTTCACTCTGGCCTCAGGCCCAAGACATTTCTCCCTTGAATCCTACTCAGCACCCCGTCACCTCCTCGCTCTATTTTCTTGCTTTTGAACCTTCAACACGTGCTGTTTCAGTCCGAAATGTCTTGCCCTCCCTCCTCCCCACCCCCCACCCCTGCCTGGCAAACATTACTCATCCTTCAAGGCCACTAAAACTTCCCCCTTCCCCAGGGACATTTAGTCATTTCTTCCTCTTTGCTCCCACGACTCTTGGTAAATACTTCAGTCATCTCACCAGCAAACACACCTACAATGTTCCTGAAGGCTTTGCAAATATTAACTCCCTTAATTTTCATAACAAGCCTATGAGGTGATCAGTGTTATTATCCCCGTTACAGTTGGGACAATGAAGGCCCCCGACAGGTTGAGTCTCTTGCCCAAGATCACTTAGCTCAAAGTGACAGAGGCAGTACTGGAACCCAGGCCGAGTGGCCCCGGAGTCTGGGCTGTGATTCCACAGCGCGTCCTCTCTGCTCAGAGAACTATCATCAAGCACTTAGTATTAAACTAAACAATATGAAATTGCCGGTGTTTGGCCGTTGACCTATACAAGCAGCACATTTGTCTTTGTCTGGGTCAGCGTGCTGGGCACTTGGGATACAGCAGGAAACTCAGTGGACATTTTGGCCCCAGACAGAAAACACCAGCGGAGGATGACATTGGGGGACGAACAAGGAGCTGGGTGAGCATGTGACCTGATTTAGGAGGTCTGTGAGAGCACCCGGCTGAGGAAGTGATATCTAAGAGAAGGTCTGAAGTTGAGTGAGAGGTGAAGAGGCAGTTTGGGGTGAGGGTGAGGAAAGGGACTTCTAGGAGAAGGCTCAGCCTTGGAACAGCATAAGCGAAGGCCTGAAAGCTAAGAGAAAGAGCTGCTCTCTCTGTCACCTAGCAATGAAGACGTGGCACAGAGCAGGTGCTCAACAAGGATTTGTCCAAAGAATCAATGAAAAATGGAAAGAAGTCAAGAGAGCTGGCGCTAATACAATGAAAGTGAGGCTTTAAGCAGGAGAGTGATCCGCTTAAATTTCCTTTTTCTATGGTTTGATTTTAAAGTCAGGTTTAATGAGGTATAACCACAGACAGTAAAATTCACCCTTTTCTGTGTAAAGCTTTATGAGTCTTGACAAATGCATCAGTGTTATAGCCACCATCACAGACGAGATCTAGACTAGTTCAATCACATCCCAAACTTGGTGCTGCCCCCTTTGTGGCCAGCCCCTCTGCTCCCCCCTCCCCAGGCAGCCACTAGTCTGTTCTCTGTTGCTATCTTTTTTTTTTTTTCCAGAATATAGTCATATAGATGGACACAAATAGCATGTCACCTTTTGAATCTGGCTTCATAGAATAATACATTTGAGATGTGTGCCTATTGGGTATATCAATAGTTGGTTCCTTTTTTTTTATTGCCGAGTAGAATTCTACTGTATACATGCATCACAGTTTTTGTTTATCCAATACTCACCAGTCCAAGGATTCAAATTCACTTTAAAAGCAAACAGTGAATCTAAAAAAAAAAAAAAAAAGAGTGGATATATGTATATGTATAACTGATTTACTTTGCTGTACACCTGAAACTCACACAACATGTGAATCAAATATACTCCAGTAAAAATTAAAAAAAAAAAAGCAAACATCACGGCACCTGGTCTGAATGGAGTGGGGGCCTTTGCATCCATCTCTGCTGTTCGTTCGCTGGCCTTTTGCCTGGCGGGACCGCGAACGGTGGAGGCAGGGACTATATTTTTCTCCCTATCACCGACTTTGTTCTTAGCATCTGGCCCACAGCTGGCTCTGAGTGAGAATGAAAGCCACGTGGGGCAGCTGTGGGCGGGAACTTTGGGGAGGAGAGTCAGGTGCGATAACTGAGGTCTGTGGCTGCTGGTGGGGGACAGGCTCTTGTCTTTGGGGAAGAAGGGCTGGACAAGAAGGGCCCTCCTTCTGCGAGTAGAGCAAGCCAGAATGTCTGGCCTTAACTTCAGCTTGGAGCAAAAGTGGGGGAAACAAAACTAAACTAAATAATACCCCTTCACATGCTATCGAATTGTCTACCCCTCCACCTATGGCACCGCCCACGAGACTGCAGGTCTTCTCTTGGCCGACAGATGGCGATGTTGCACTGCGCCTGAGCTCGGCCTCTGCGGTCACCCCATTCATTTCGACAGAGGCAGCGGTCCATCAACGTGGCACGCCGGCGGGAAGGACCTCAGAGACCACCTTGTCCTTAACACTTATTTTACAGGCAAAGGGCTCACCCACACTCCTGAAGCTCTGTCTCGCAGAGCAGGGGCTCAAACCCAATTTCCCCGTGCTCTTTCCTCCTTATACAACCCCATCTCTAGAGAGGTGACAGTTTTTTTAAACATCAGGTGAAGGAGAGGTTTTCAAGCTAGAGGGCAAAGGTGGAGGAACAGATGTCCATGGCCACAAGGCCTGGCCAGTCTCGCTCTGCTGTCAATATGCTGTGCGACCTCAGCTGACTTGCCTTTCTTCTCTGGTCCTCAGTCTCCACATCTGTAAAAAGCTGAACTTCCAGCTTTAAAATTCTTGGTGCTATAGAGAAGGCAGGGATGGGAAAGACACACAGCTTACATTCTCCTGGGGGCTTCAGCTAGTAAATAACTGATCCTTCTATGCAAGGCAGACGGAAAGTCAAGAGTGGCTTTTAAAATTTATTTTTTATTCGTTTTAAAATAAATTTTATTTATTTATGTATATATGTATGTATGTATTGTCTGCGTCCGGTCTTCCTCGCTGCGCATGGGCTTTCTCTAGATGTGGCGAGCGGGGGCTACTCTTCGTTGTAGTGCACAGGCTTCTCATTGCGGTGGCTTCTTTTGTTGTGAGCATGCGCTCTAGGCGCGCAGGCTTCAGCAGTTGTGGCGCGTGGGCTCAGTAGTTATGGCTCGTGGGCTCTAGAGCTCAGGCTCAGTAGTTGTGGCGCATGGGCTTAGTTGCCCACAGCATGTGGGATCTTCCCGGACCAGGGCTCGAACCCGTGTCTCCTGCATTGGCAGGCAGATTCTTAACCACTGCACCATCAGGGAAGCCCAGAGTGGCTTTTAGGTGGCTGCATTTCTCTTCCACTGGTGAATAGCTGTTGGTCTAGCACTAGGTTTACCAGATAAATTACAGGGCACTCGGTTAAAGATAACTGACAGATAATTTTAAGAATAAATATGTTCTAAATATAGCCTAGAATATATTTATACTAAAAAAGCTTTGATGTTTGTCAGAAATTTAAATTTAACTAGGTGTCCTATATTTTCATTTGGTCAACTGACAACCTTGTTCAGCTCACAAGGCCCACCCAGTGCCTCAGCCCCTCTCCTGGAACCCCCAGGTCTTCACCCTGATTGGCTAGTGCCCAATTCAGCCTGTTGTTAGGTATTTTGACAATCATCCCTGACTACCAGAAAGGCAGCCAAAATGTAACACTGCTCTCCTTTTTTCCCTCCTAGGCCTGGCACTCCTGCTGCCCCCTGCCACTCTGGCCGCCTTGGCAGAAAGCTGGCTTCGAGAGGACTGCCCAGGCCTCAACCACATGGCCTTGGTCACGGGGGCAGCCTCCTCACAGGCGGTGCTGTGGGCCAAGTCCCCCGGAGTGCTGGCTGGGAGGCCCTTCTTTGATGCCATCTTTGCCCAAGTCAACTGCCAGGTCTCCTGGTTCCTCCCCGAGGGATCAAAGCTGGTGCCTGTGGCCAAGGTGGCTGAGGTCCGGGGCCCTGCCCACTGCCTGCTGCTGGGGGAGCGGGTGGCCCTTAATATGTTGGCCCGCTGCAGTGGAGTTGCCAGCGCTGCTGCTGCTGCTGTGGAGACCGCCAGGGGGACCGGCTGGGCCGGGCACGTGGCAGGCACGAGGAAGACGACACCAGGCTTCCGGCTGGTGGAGAAGTATGGGCTCCTAGTGGGCGGGGCCGCCTCCCACCGCTACGACTTGGGAGGGCTGGTGATGGTGAAGGACAACCACGTCGTGGCAGCTGGTGGTGTGGAAAAGGTGTCTGTCTGCCCAGCTGAGCCCCTGCCCTGGCCCTGCTCCAGCCACCCCGCCAGCATTGCCCTTCCCTCTACCAGGGACCCCCAACCACCCCCTGGCAAATAGTGATGGCCTGGGAGTTGGGACACGCAAGACTCCTTGACCCCTCAGTGGTTCCATCTGTAAAATGAACGGTTGGACTTGCTTCTTCACCAGCGTTCTTCTGCTGGTCGGTATGATATTCAAGGGAAAAGGACGAACTATTGGGAACCCAGTGTTGGGCAGGTCACTCTAGCTCCCTGGACCTGTTTCCCGTCTATGAAAATGTTCTTGAAGACCCTTTCCAGTCTTAATGTTCTGAGTCAATTGAACTCAGGTCCAAATGCCAAATAGTTCTGGATTTGGCCATTTTCTTAACCCACAAAAGTGGTAATTTCACTTGGTTTCACCTAATATGCGAGAAGCCATTTCGACGCCTGGTTTCCTCATTAACCCCAAGCTCGTTATCCATCTGGAGCCTCTCGAATGCCAGTCCCAGCTCACTTGCCCAGGGCTGGTTGCCACCCGTGCTCACTCTCACCCTTGCCACCTGACAGGCGGTGAGGGGGGCCCGGCAGGCGGCCGACTTCTCCCTGAAGGTGGAGGTCGAGTGCAGCAGCCTGCAGGAGGCTGCGGAGGCGGCCGAGGCAGGAGCAGACCTCGTCTTGCTGGACAACTTCAGGCCTGAGGTGAGGCGGCGTCTGCTTCCTGGGAAGGGGAAGGGGCTGGGGCGGGGGCTCTCACCTCTCGCTGGCTTGTGTCCCACAGGAGCTGCACCCCACGGCCGCGGCGCTGAAGGCCCGGTTCCCGAACGTGGGCGTGGAGGCGAGCGGAGGCATCACGCTGGACAGCCTCCCTCAGTTCTGTGGGCCCCATATCGATGTCATCTCTTTGGGGATGCTGACCCAGGCTGCCCCGGCCCTCGATTTCTCCCTCAAGCTGTTTGCCAAAGGGGCCACTCCAGTGCCCTACGCCCACCGCTCCTAAAGCCAAGGAGGCTACGCTGGCAGTGGGATAACACGGTTTCATGCAACTCTCACGATTTCACTTCTTTAAGTCCAGTGGCCAACAGAACACTCTCAAGTTAGCCTGGGCTAAAGTCCCACTCTGTCATGTACTGCTTGTGGGACCTCAAAGGACTGACTTCACCTCTGCTCACCTCAGTTTCCTAATCTGTAAAATGGGTCTAGCCAACCTTATGGATTTCTTTGGATGATAATTAACGCAGAGTAAGTGCTTAGTAAATGTTAGAAATTACCATTATTGGGCTTCCCTGGTGGCACAGTGGTTAAGAATCCACCTGCCAATGCAGGGGAAACAGGTTTGAGTCCTGGTCCCACATGCCACGGGGCAACTAAGCCCGTGCGCCACAACTACTGAGCCTGTGCTCTAGAGCCTGCGAGCCACAACTACTGAGCCCATGTGCCACAACTACTGAAGCCCACGTGCCTAGAGCCCGTGCTCCACAACAATAGAAGCCACCGCAATTAGAAGCCTGCGCACCGCAACAGAGTAGCCCCCACTCGCCGCAACTAGAGAAAGCCACGCACAGCAACAAAGAACCAAAGTAGCCAAAAATAAGTAAATAAAATAAATAAAGTTATTAAAAAAAATTACCATCATTCATCTGTTCTAAGAAGCACTTTTCCCCCCCACACACTGAAGTCATATTTGGTGTGTGGGAACAGATGGTGTAATCAAGGGTGTCTAATGGTCACTGTCAGCCAGCCACTGTCACGTAGCCATGTGGCCTGTGCCTGTGGCTTGTAGATCCAACATGATAACGATCTATGTGGAAAAGAACTCTTTCAACATGTATAAAATAGAAATTGTAAGTGATAAGAAAGCACTGGTTTGACAATTTTCTTTTTGAGTAATAGTATGTGTGTTTTACAATCAATGGCATCTTATATTTGAGGATATGTGATACCCGTTTTGATGTTCAGCTGGAACATTACACTTGGTTGATGCCCATGTTGTACTGGTTACTAAGTATTTCACCTCTTGCCTGTGGCTGCTGTTACCACCTTTTTGGTTGGAGGTGAGAAACCTGCTTATTTTTCACTCCTGGGCTCCCAAACAGACTCCATCACGCATCCCTCCCAAAATGAGACCCCCATTGGGTGCTGAAGGCCCTTTAGGATTTGGTTCCATGGGGATATCATTAGTTGGGAGAGGTACAGAGCAGCTGGGGCCAGAGCCAAGGTCAGTTAGGGAGTAAGGGAGGGTGGTGGGAGTCCGTGTTCAGACATCCAACTTCCTTCCATTTTGAGTAAGGACTCAGAAGTCTAAGCAGTGGGTCTAAATCCAGTCCCCCAAATATGCATACAAACACACACTCCCCTGAGGTCTTGCCCACCTGTGTGGCCCCTCCTACCCTCACCTCAAGCCTAGGGTTCGCCTCTCTCTAACCCTTCTGGGTGGATCTGGGAGAAACCAGAGCATGAGGGCTCCCAAGGGTGAAGGTGGTCCCCAAGGTGACTCCTCCTGGAAGGGCTCCAGTCTGGAGCTGCCTCTCCCCTCCCAGAACCTACTCTCTCCTCTGCCCTTTGCCAGGAGGAGAGAAAAATGGGTCTCATCCACAGAGGTTCCTTCTTCAGGGGGAGTCTGGGGGTGCCAGTCTGCCCTGAGGGAGCTATTCTACCCCTTTGCTCCTTTCTCAACCTTGGAGACCAGCAATGGGCCAGGGACAGATGAGCTACCTCAGATGTGAAAGCTCCAGACCGACCAAGACCTTCACCCTTCAAGCACCAAACATACGCTGAGGAGCACCCTGGACTCCGTGCTTTCACTGCTGAGGGCCTGGGTTCAATCCCTGGGTGCAGCCAAAAACAAAACAAACAAAAAACCCACAACAATGCTGGGCAGAAGTGGACACTGCGTTTGGTGATGTCCTGAACTGAAGGGGCCATTCTCATAGGACACAGCCCAGAGATGCCAACTGGGGCTGTACCTGTGTTCTGTAATACACACCTCCATCTCGAGGCTCTCCTGTCCTTTTTCCAGGGAAAACATGGACACGCTCAGCTAGGCAGCCTTCCCTGCTCCAGGAAATTTAGATCTCTGAGTCCCAGCTCCTCAGATCTGAAGGGGAATTAACTGAACCTTCAGAGAACTAGGGGCACTTCTGGGTGTCAGGACAGGACAGGGAAGTGGGGACCCAGGAAGAGCAGGGAACTGAAAGGCAAAACCTTGGGGATCTAGGAGGGAATCAGAGCCTAGTAGAGGCAGAAGGGAGGTGTGTACCAGGAGTCTCAAACTCAAATGCCTCTAGGACTCAAGCAGATGTGACAGATGGGGGAGGCTAGAATAAGACATAGGGGCCCATGTAGCCAACTGGAGAATGCAGGCTGCACCCACAGCATCCCGATTAAAAAAGGAAAAAGCAAGCTCCCAGGCTGAGTCTCCAGCTCACCCTTGATCACAGAAGTGAACCAGTCCTACAGGAAGATCCCAGATTTGAGCCCTGGGTGGGGATTCCCTCACCAGTGGAAAAGAAAATGGATCCTGGGCAGGCAAAAGCAATCCATGCCCTTCTGGCAGGGGATGGATTTCTAGGCAGAGGAGACTGTGTGGGCAAAGGTTCAGGAGAGGGAAATGGCTAGGATTGTTTGGTGTAAGATTTGAATCTGGGATCAGGAGAGGCGAGATGACTAGATGCTGGGCTGGGTCCAGACCACAAAATGGTAGGTCAGAGGACTTGGACTCTGTCCCGAGAACAGTCAGATTGAAGCTGGAAAGTGAGGTAAGCATATTTGCGGGAAGATCTATTTGCGGGGGCCGGGATGGCTGCAGGCAGACCAAGAGGAGGCTGATGCGGCCACTCAGAGGGCTTGAATGGGGGTCACGGCAATGCGTCGGCAAGAAGGGAAGGTAGGCAAGGGAAACAGCAAAAGCTCAGAGGGCAGATGGAGCCTGATGGCTTCAGCACAGAGGGAAGAGTGGGGTGTGGCTGTGAGGGTGGGGAGACGGGGTGAGTGGCAGGAGAGGAATCTCCCATTTCACCTGGTGTCTCTCTGGCTACACTGCCTTCTTGCCTGACCCGCCTGGGACTAGGCTTGGCCGATTTCCCCAGGCTGCCCCACATGCAGTATAAAGCCCATGCCCGTTAGAGCAAATGTGCCCATCGAATCAGGTGCAAATCAGGTCAGCATGTAACGCATCATCACCGCCAGCTGGTGGGTGAGAAGGGAACACACATTTGACTGAGGGCTCCTGCTCAGCGCGTAGGTCTCTTTCTCAGTTAATGCTGGTGGGGGCAGGGATGTTAGCGTCTCCATTTGACTCATGAGGAAACTGAGGCTTTATGAAGTTAAGAATGCTGCTCAGGGTCATAGATCAATAAAATGGTGAAGCAGGATTCAAAACTAAGTATTTGTTGAATGTCTACTACGTGCCAGGCACTATTCTAGACGCTGGATATACAACAATGAGTAAACAGTGAAGAAGCCCTGTCCTCATGGAGTTTATATTCTAGCGGGGCTCTGTGGGAGCCTGGGGGTGTGGAGTGGGGGAGGGGAGAACAGACAATGAAAAAAATAGCTAAGAATACCGTCAAATCCCCTATGGCCACCAGAGGACTCTTCAGTCACACCACCTTCCAATTCCATCTTCTGATTCCATCTTCCTTCCAGGTTCCAAAGATATTAGCCAAGGAGGCTGTGAATACTGCATAGCATCTGCTCAAGAAGGAAAGCTGAGGAGGGGTTGCAGCAGTCTCATCTTCCACCCACTTTTCCAGCTTCATCTCCTCATCAGATCCCCACCCAACCGCCCAAGGTATCTCAGTGACTTCAAGGCCCTGCGTACTCCGGAGACGACCAAGACTCATTCACTCACCAACCCATCCACCCCCCACCCTCACCCTCCTGCTAACATTTACCCACCTGCCCACCCCTCTTCCGCCTATCCTCCTGCCCATCCACCCCCGCCTTGCATCTACCCATCCCCCTTCCCACCCCTCCACCCACCCACCTACTGGGGTACTCAGTCTAGAGGGTCAGGGAAGACAAGAGGTCAGACCGAGTTGGCAGAGTCAGTGAACTCAATGGGCACGAGCTTTAGTGAGCCAAGGCCTGTGAAAGCTGAAAGCATTTAAAAACGGCAAGACATTATTAGCAAACCACACTATATCTGAAAAAAAATTCAACTTTGGACCTTTGAAAAATCCCACTGTGCTATTATGTGGTGTGGACACGTATATTAATTTTATTGCTAGCCCTCCAAGACAATACAGTAGGTAAAGCTCCACAAATGTTTCAGTACCTAGCCCTCCAAGACAATACAGTAGGTAAAGCTCCACAAATGTTTCAGTACCTAGCCCTCCAAGACAATACAGTAGGTAGAACTCCACAAATGTTTCAGTACCTCCGTACTTTGTTCTAATCACTTCCTGAGGAACAGAACATTTTGGCAGTTAGTATGTAACTGCTTTTAAGACCTGCTTTCTGAGGCCCTAAGTAACTCAGCTTGTAAGACCAGACTACAAAGATCTGAAGAGAATCTGATCGTGAAGCTGTGAATAACATCTCGCTGTGCACGTCAGATTTACCCCAGATAATGTGGGCTTTCTTTATTCAGGTAGGTAGTGCTCTTTGGATCCCTGGACCTAGTATAGCACACTTAGAAAATGATCAGAGGCAGAGATCCTCACGTATACCTCTAGTTTGGTGGGTCACTGGGTAACCTATTTCTTCTCCCAGCTCTTGAGCTAGAATTTCTCGAAGACTTAGCACCAACAAAGAACCATCCCATAAGTCACTTGCTTCTTGATATTTGGCTGTTTTTAACCAAGGGAGAGATTCTCTTTTGGAATACCACATCAGTATATAAAGAACAATGCTGGTTTCTTAAAGGCTGGATAAAAAGTCATGCTTCCCACATTAAAAATCAAACAATAAAGGCCCCTGAACTGTAATCTCACCAAGAACCAAAAATATCTTATTTTTACTTTTTGCATGATTTGCTTTGTTTTCTCAGAATATTAGAAGCCAGAAGGGGAATTCATTGAGACTTGGCAGCTTTTTATGTAAAGGACTGTACTAACGGATTTTTGTATTATTGGTATAGTAATTACCCAAATGCATGGAAGATTTCAAGGGCTAGACTAAGTCTTGCATTTTAAAATTCCAATCTAATTCATTCCAATGGATGAAAAGTCCGTCAGGGGAAAGATAGAAGATGCAAAAGAGCTGTTTCAGTGACCTATCTGAGGCAGCAGTTCAGGGATGCTCTGTGTATGATAACTAAAACAGAACCAGAAAAGGTCCATACATCTTTTCTGACACGTCATTGATCCTCTCCTGTTTTCGCTTGTTAATTACTGCTCGCCGGATGTGGTGAATTTCACCTGGCTCAGCACCAGATAGTTCTCTGTATGATTTGTTAGGCAGATCCAAAGCAGTGCTCAGTCTAGTGGATTATTTTCTACTACTAAGCCAAGACTTTCCCACGTGCACTGCCCAAGGCCTTGTGACATTTTCCAGTCTGGCTGGTGGGAAGAGGCCCTGGCTTTGTTGTGAGGCCCTGGGCACTGCTGCCTTAGTCCTTTCACGTGGCTCTTCTCTGGGCCTCAGGTGGTTTTCTCACACACGTGTGTTGATCAGCTGTTTGCTGAACAGCACGCGAGAAGGACCCACAGCAGATCTTGGGGTTCTCTCTTCTCTGAGCCCGCAGGTTGGAAACTCTCTCAAGCAGTAAGCTGGACAATCTTAAAAGGACAAGTCCCCTTTCCTTCCTCCCTCCCTCCTTCCCTCCCTCCTTCCCTCCCTCCTTCCCTCTCTCTCTCTCTCTCTCTCTCTCTTTCTTTTTTATATTTTGGCTGTGCCGCATACCTTGTAGGATCTCGGTTCCCTGACCAGGGATTGGACCCGGGCCATCGCAGTGATGGTGCCAGATTTCAACCACTAGGCCCCCAGGGAACTCCCTCCTTTGTTTTCCTTTCCCTCTGGGATTTCGTTGTTTTCATGACTGTCTTTCATTGCTTGGTGTTCAGTGTCTTGAAAACTGTTGTTCCATGTGTTTTGTCTGGTTTGGTGGTGGCAGTGGAGGTTGTTTCAGGCAGAAGGGTAAACCCAGTCCCTGTTCCTCCACTTGGTGCAAAGGGGAGTCCTGGTGGCGCCCGTATTCCTTGATGCTCCTCAGGTGGTGCCAGTGTGAGGCACCTCACAGACCTCTTTCTTCTGCCTGAAATGCTTCTCTCCATTGCATAGAATCTTTCATTATTTCCTCCCCTCCGTTTTCTCTGTTCTCTTTTTCTGGAACTTCTATTAGGTAAATATTGAATGAATTGATCCTTTATCTCTTAATGTTGCTTACCTGTTTTCCATTTCTTTGTCATTTTCTTCTACCTCCCGAGAGATGTTAAAAAACTTTTTCCTCCCACACCTTCCTTTAGAAGGAACTTTTTCATTTGGGCAATCAAATTTGCAATTTCCAAATTATATTAGAATTTCCAATTACAAAAGACATTATGATGCACTGCCTTCCTAGAAGCCTCTGCCGGTTTCCTGGTGTATTATTTATTTGTTTCCTCCAAGGCTGATTGTCTTGTATCTTCACCTTAACCCTTTTTTGGTGCCACTGAAAATTAGTAAGAGGAGGCCCACATTGTTCTACTTGGCAGCTGAGTGGTTCTAGGTCCCCAGCAGCCCTGTTCCTGGACAGGCTGCAAGCTCTGTGGGCCGGTGTGTTAATTGATTAAAATGCTTCACTTAGAAGCATCAGAGGGTTTTGTCTCCCTCCCCGCCCCCACCTCAGGTGACATTTGGCAATGCCTGGAAACATCCCTTCACAACTAGCGGTATGCAACTGACACCTAGTTGCTACAGGCCGGAAATGCTGCTAGATATCCCACAATGTACAGGAACACAAAGAATTATCTGGCTCAAATGTCAACAGCGTGAAGGTGGGGAAAACCCTGATTTAAGATCATCTGAGAGCAGGACGTCCCACCTCCAACCACCAAAGTCCAACACAAAGAGGGACCCTCCACACCCACTTCAGGGGCCTTCCCAGGCACTTGTTCAAGTTTGGTTTTCTGTTTTTTGGGTTTTTAAAATATTTATTTATTTATTTTGGCTGCGCCAGGTCTTAGTTGCGGCACGCAGGATCTTCCTTGCGGTATGCGGGCTCATGGTTGCAGCATGCGGACTCTTAGTTGCAGCATGCAGGATCTAGTGTCCCGACCAGGGATCGAACCGAGGCCCCCTGCATTGGGAGTGCGGAATCCTACGCATTGAACCAGGAAAATCCCTCAAGTTTGTTCAGAAGAGATCTCTGACCGGTGTTTCCTGAGCCACATGTGGCCTACAGGCTTGTTTCTTTGGATTTTATAGGTTTATAGATTCATATACATATATATAAAGTGGTCTTAACATTTTGGTTGATTTTACCTAAAAACCCAAATTTCTAGCTTCTGCTGGAAAATCAGAAGGATGGACATGATTGGTGGAGCCGAGTAGCAGCTGCCCTTACAGACAGGTGTGAAGTCTTCTCTCACCTATGTCCCCTGGCCCACATCACTCTTCACCTATATCTCTGACTTGGCCTATTTATGCATGTGAATTCATGACCCCTGTGGTTGTTTGTTTTTTTTGGGGGGGGCATGTCGTGTTTTAATACTGGGGTAAATACTGACTCTGTAATCAAGGATGACTGTGGAGAGGTTCTGAGATAATCTTTTTTTTTTTTTAAATAAGTTTATTTGTTTTTGGCTGCATTGGGTCTTCGTTGCTGTGCGCGAGCTTTGTCTAGTTGTGATGAGCGGGGGCTTCTCTTCATTGCAGTACAGGGGCTTCTCATTGTGGTGGCTTCTCTTGTTGCAGAGCACGGGGGCACGGGCTTCAGTAGTTGTAGCACACGGGCTCTAGCGCGCAGGCTCTGTAGTTGTGGTGCACGGGCTTAGATGCTCCGCAGCATGTGGGATCTTCCCAGACCAGGGATCGAACCCATGTCCCCTGCATTGGCAGGCAGATTCTTAACCACTGCTCCACCAGGGAAGCCCAGGAAGTGCGTTTTTTTTTTTTTTTTCAGATGTTGGGGGTAGGAGTTTATTAATTAATTAATTAATTTTTTTGTGGTGTTGGGTCTTCGTTTCTGTGCGAGGGCTTTCTCTAGTTGTGGCAAGCGGGGGCCACTCTTCATCACGGTGTGTGGGCCTCTCACTATCACGGCCTCTCTTGTTGCGGAGCACAGGCTCCAGACGCGCAGGCTCAGTAGTTGTGGCTCACAGGCCTAGTTGCTCCGCGGCATGTGGGATCCTCCCAGACCAGGGCTCGAACCCGTGTCCCCTGCATTAGCTGGCAGATTCTCAACCACTGCACCACCAGGGAAGCCCCAGGAAGTGCGTTTTAAACGTCAAAAAGCATAAAGGAAGATCTCAACATGAGAAAGTGATAAGATGGTGTTTTTGTTTTTTGTTTTAATTTTTGGCCACACCCCAAGGCATGTGGGATCTTAGTTCCCCAGCCAGGGATTGAACCCACACCCGCTGCAGTGGAAGCATGGAGTCTTAACCACTGGACCACCAGGGAAGTTCCAGTAAGATGGTGTTCAAAATGAAGAGGAGATGTTTAAAATAAAGAGGAGAAAGGGTAAAACAAATGTATCTATGAATCCGTCTACTTATTCATTCATTCTCCTTTCTTTGGGCTCCTGCTGTGTTTTAGATCCTGTTCTGGGTCTGGGGATATAAAGGTGACTTTGGGGACAGCAAGCTGGACTTTGCCTCAGGGAGATCACATTCATCCATGCATGGGTGTAGGTATCCATCTTTCATTTTACTGTATCCTTAGATGTCACAGCTAGAAAAGTCCCAAGAGAGCATCTGTTCAACTTTCAACTCTCTTTTTGTAAAGAGAAAGAATGTGAGGCCCAGTAATACAAAAAGTACTTTTCTCCAAGAGTGAGTGATAGAACCAGATAGAGAACTGGGGCCTTGTCCCTGGTGTCCCTTCCCCACCATCCTGCCTCTGCTGAGCCCTTGGCATGCAGGCCTCTAAGCTCTGAGCGTGGTATCTCAGTTCTGCGTCCCTGAGAGACTGTTCATGCTTCCTGGGCAGAGTCCCCACAACCCAGTCCTGTCAGCTAATGGTGACAACGAGAAGTGACATAGTTACCTGGCTTGTGAGTGACAGAGGTGGGACAGCAGCCCTGATCTTGTATCAGTTATGTCTTCCTGTCTTATCTCACCTCCCTCCACCCCCACCCCTGCCACTAGAGAGACTGAGATCTCCCTGAGGGCGGGGCCCAGGTCTGATTCCTCCCTCCTCAGGGCCTGGCTCAGGGAAGATTCTGGGAACACAGGCTGGATGAGTGCAGCCGGGGGTGGGGGTTGGATGTCCCTCAGCCAGGGGGCTTCTAAAGCCCTGGCTGCTAGTCCAACTCCTGGCATCCAAGGGGTGAGAAGGGAGGTCCAGGCCCAGGTGCTCTCTGGCCCTCTGAGGAGGAAGAGCAGAGTGTTGGCCTCTGCCTGACAGCATTTCCGGGGTGTGGGTGAACTTGGTGGCGGGGCGGGGGAGTTCCTGGCCAGCATTAAGTAGCACAGGATGGCTGCTCCCCATGCAGAGCTCTCATCCATCACAGCACTTCTCAAGGGTGGTCTCAGCGTGGCACCAGAATGTCTAACACTTTCCTAATACTTGCTGAGCCTTTTGACAAAGAAGAGCAGATCTCTGGGTCAATGCCTCCAGCAGGAAACAATGTCTGCTTAGAACTATATACCTTTGTTTACACTGTATTTATTTCCATGTTTTACCTTCTATTTCTGACAAGTGATACTTGGTTTTCCATTTACAGAAGTGATACAAAACAGATTCCTTGTAAAATGAATTTATTAAGCAAATGGTAAACCAATTTAAAGAAAAATATAAAGTACAGGTGGTAACTGACATGGCAAAATCCTAACATTCAGGACTGAGGTTTGAGAAGTCAGAGCCCAGCGAATGGAAACTCCTTCGCCTCCCCCCAACACCTGGCTCTGCACCCAGAGGGGAGGTCAGCTGATACAGATATTGGGGCTCCATTTTTGTGGGGTGGAGCATCATAAGTAAGCCTGTCTTGGGGCAACTCTGTCTCTCTGGACCACTCCAAGAAGCTGGGAGGGAAGACGGCCAGGGGCCACGTTCTGGGAGAATGTTCCTTTCCACACCGGATCAAACTCAGATCTCCTTGGCTTGGGCTTCCCTCACCGTGGAAGGGTAAGATCCAGAGGGCTGAGATGCGGCGGCCTCAAGAGGACATGCTGCCCACCGGCCTTTTGCGACTCCGGGTCCCAGGTGCAGGCAAGAGATGGCCTCTTGTTGCGAGGTGGGGGTCAAAGCCACAGTTTATATGTAATAAGATGCTCTTTTGCCTGACCTTGACCTCTCTGTATGTGCTTTTCTGGAGGGATGATGTGGCTCTGGGAAGCTGAATTCCTGTCATCTCCTGCTAGCACGGCTGACACTTGTCATCACCACACTCTGTTCTTCAGCATCCTCGGGACCCTCACTCCAATGTCAGCATCTTAGGTACACACTGAAGGAGGGTGGGAGCCGCGGCGTTGATGCTATTTCCTGTCTGTCTGGTACCTTGAGTTCTTAATCTGGAATGTGATCTTGGCAGTTTCTGGCCCAGAGGTGGCCTCAACTCCAGTTCTCTAAGCCACCGCCCCGGGCAGATAAGCAAAGGCACCTCTGAGCTTGCCCCGCAGCGCAGGCTCTGTCCACACCCAGGTTGCCCAGGCCCAGATCCAGGGGAACCGAAACCCAGAAGTTAAAGGCTTGGGAGGGGCATTCTTTCCCAGGGCCTCAGCTGTCAGCTCAGGTTCTCAGGAGCCTCAGGGTCTTAGGATCCCTCTGAGGTTGGGCCTCCCCCAGGGGTCTCTGGGAGGCCAGTCCTCCAGGCCCTGGGGATTCAGAAACTCACGCTGGTCCGGGCTTCACGCCTCCAGAAAGCTGAGATCTGCTCCAGGGTGACCCGAGGCTGGAGGCCCCACTCAGGATCGGGGCTTCCTGGCCGCAGCCTCCGGGCCTGGGGGCTCCCTGGATATGCACTGGCCTCTGGCCTCTGTTCGGGCTCAGCCCAGCTCACCAGGCCTGGGGTGTGGGGCCTCTCCTCCCAGACCTGGGGCCTCCAGAAGGTGCTACGGGTTGGGGCGTTTGGTGGGGTCTGGGGGACCAAGGAGCTGGGAGGGGAGCATGGGGCTGAAGGGGCAGGTGGGGCTGTCACTCGTGCCTCCAAGGCGCCCCCCTGGGTGGGTGGGTCTGGGGCCCGGTCCATCAGCAGGGGGACCGCGGAGCCATACCAATCCTCGGAGCGCTCTCGGGGGGTGCCCGTGGGCTCAATCCATAGCTCTCCTCCCGGGCGCCAGACCAGGGTGGGTGCGCAGATGCTGGGGTCTGGGCGGAGGGAGCGGCGGAACAGGCGTTCGGCCAACACGGCTGTGGTCAGGAGGAAGACAGCAGCCAGGGCGGCCAGGGCCAGCATGATGGGGACACAGGGCCCGCAGGGCAGCGGGGGCCATGAGGAGGCCTCTGATGCAGGGGGCCCCTCCATGTGCCCAGAGGGCTGCTCTGGGGTCGGAGGCATCTGGAGAGCTGGGGTCAGGAGAGGAAGCACATGAGACAGGGTTGGCACGATCAGGAGAGAGAGGGGCCAGGGGAGCAGGGTTCAGCAACGTCTGGCTGGAGAAACAGACCCAGGCAGACAGAGGAGCCCGGAGGACCCAGAAACAGCGGGAAGGAGCCAGATGGCCAGAGAGATGGGGCCCACCTCGGTCTGCAGCCAGGCCCTCCTGTTCAGAATCCCCAGGCCCTTTCTGGAAGCTGCATTTTCCTCCCAGACTCCAGGGTGCCTCAGACAAAACTGAACTCAAACTCAAAGAACCCAAGGACTTCTTTCCTCCTGTCTCAGCCCGCTCATGTCTTGCTTAGAAGAAGTGCTGGGTGAGGAAATGAGAGCCTCCGTCCCAGCTCTGCCCCTGCGTGTGGGCCCCGCTCCCGGCCACATTGGCGGTGCCCTGGCTGCTCCTTTGCCCTCACAACTCTCCTTGGAGTTGGTCTTGTTCTTTGCAGGCTCCCCTGAGTTTGCTGTTGTGCCAGGTCTCAGGTGCCACCTCTGCACCTGTCCCCGCAGTCTCTGTCTGCCTCTGCCTGTCCCCCAGGTCCCCCACCTGCAGGGGCCTCCTGCATTCCTCACCTCACCTCAGTCAGTCTCTGGGCTCCTGGCTCGCCCTCAGAGCCGCTCTTCCCTGTGCGAGCCAAGGGTGCAGGGCAGCTGCCTCAGATGAGGGTGGAAGGGAGGGCACCACCTGTTGCTGGGCAACTGTGCCCTGGATCTCCCAGCCCCCCCGCAGAGTGTTTCCAAGGCAACCTGGGGGGATGTGGTCACTGTGGTGGGGAGGCGTTTCCTGGTGAGAGGTGGGGCCGGAATGGGCAGCGGTTCTGTTGATCTCAGTGTCACCCCACAGTCAGGCCCCAGGCCCCAGAACAATTACCTGGAAGCCAAGAGAGAGAGACAGAGCCCATCCAGACCACCAAGGTGGCTCGCTCTGTCCTGCTCGCAGGTGGCTGCTGTGTCCCTGCCCTGCCCACTGGGCCCCGCCATACCCACTCCTGCTATCTGTCCCCACACACCCTCCTGCTTGCCCACCTTCTCCATGCATTTCACAAACATATATCTTCTTGTCCTCAGACCATTTAGCCCCAATTTTGCTTGGAAACTATCTGTGAGGTGAGGCTCAGGTAGCAAAAATGTCAGGCCTCTGGGAAGAATCCAAGGCTAAAAAATATGCTGAGGCGTCTCTCCAAGACCACGAACATTTGTCATCTCGGCTCCTTTCTCCTGGTGCTTAGTGTTGAGGAGAGAATCATCAGCTCCTGGACTGGGAGCCTTTCAGAGACTGTCTAGAATCGACCCACTCACTGACAGATGGCAGGTAAGCCCTAAATAAGGGAGGTGTTGTGTTCTAAGTCACACACCTCATGTATATAGGAGGATGGGGGGAGCACAGATATAAATGCCTTCTCTGGCAAACAACGTGTACACAACAGAACTCTTCCTACGTACTCAGATTTTGTTTTGCAAAATGACAGCCATTTAATGTGAAAGGCTACAAAAAATATGTTGAAATGTTAGTGTCTTACCAAAGAAGGTCACAAAGGCAGCCTGACTCAGATTGCTCTGTCCTTGTGGTTTGGAGGGAAGGGCCAGAAGGAGTACAAAGTGTGGCAGGGGTAGGAGTAGGTGGAAAGGAGAGTCCCAAGGCTCTGGCCTTAATATGCATCACCCACCGAGGTTAGAATTTGATGATATTATAAGCCTTAAAATAAAACCTGAGCTTAATACCACTGAACTGGATATGTACAAGTGGTTAAGATGGTCATTTTTGTGTGATATGTATTCATGACGATAAAAAGTTTTCTTTTTAAAAGAAATTCCAAATAAATAAAACCTGAAAATTGTTATGTATGTTCTCTTCTAATTAGTCTTTCTTTAAAAAAAAAAATTAAAGCTCTAGAACAGTAAACATTATTCAAAACCACAGGGCTTCCCTGGTGGCACAGTGGTTAAGAATCCACCTGCCAATGCAGGGGACACGGGGTCCAGCCCTGGTCCGGGAAGATCTCACATGCCGCGGAGCAACGAAGCCCGTGCGCCACAACTACTGAGCCCGCGTGCCACAGCTACTGAGCCCGTGCACCTAGAGCCTGTGCTCCGCAACAAGAGAAGCCACCGCAATGACAAAGAGAAGCCCCCGCTTGCCACAACTAGAGGAAGCCTGCGCATAGCAACAAAGAACAAATGCAGCCAAAAATAAATAAATTAAATAAACTAAACAAACAAACAAACAAACCAGAAAGACCAGGTATGATTTTTTGTTGTTGTTGTTCCTAAGGTATCAAACTGGCTGTTTTGATTCTTAACTGTTTTTCATCACTTACAAAAAGGCTTAAAAAATTTTAACTGGTTCCTCAAGAAATTAAACATAGAATTACCATATGTCCAGCAATTATATGTCTACATATGTGCAAAAGAATTGAAAGCAGAGACACAAACAGATATTTTCACACTAATGTTTATAGCAGAGTTATTCACAAAAGCCAAAAGGTGGAAAGAACTCAAATGAACTCAAACGACCATTGATGGATGAATGGATAAACAAAATGTTTATATTATATATAAAATATTGTTTATATCATACATGTTATTCAGGCCTAAAAAGGAAGGAACTTCTGAAACATGCTACAACATGGATGAACCTTGAAAACGTTATGCCAAGTGAAATAAGGCAGACACAAAAGGACAAATACTGTAGGATTCCACTCATATGAGGTCCCTGGAGTGGTCAGGCTCCAAGAAACAGAAAGTAGAATGGTGGTTGCCAGGAGCTGGTGTTTAATGGGTCTAGAATTTCAGTTTGAGGACTTCCCTGGCGGCCCAGAAGTTAAGGCTCCTCGCTCCCAATGCATGGGGCACAGGTTCAATCCCTGTTCGGGGAACTAAGATCCCATAAGCTGCGCAGTATGGCCAAAAATTTTAAAAATAAATAGGTAATAAAATAAAAATTGTTAAAATGGTAAATTTTATGGTATATATATTTTACCACCATGAAAACTTTAAATCATAGTATAGAAAATTGAAACATAAAGAGGAAAATGATTCCTTACAATTTCCTCACTCCCAAATAAACCTGCATTTTTTTTTACAGCTTCTGCAAAGTAGGGAGCAAAACCCAGGTATTCTGACCCCTAGCTTCCTCCCCCTCCACCATGCAAGAATTTCTGCAAAAAGGAATCAGGAAGTTACTCAAGGAGTGTGTGTAAAAGGGAAGTCTCTGGTCAGGAGTCTGGAAAACAGGCCTTTGCGTGGGAGTCTTCTGGTTGACGGGGTGCTCCTGGATCCAAGTGTTCTGGGATGAGCCTGGCTGTGCTTGGAACCAGTTAAACTTTTTTTTTTTCCTTAAAGCTCTTCCACTTTAATCTCCTTTAGGATTTTCTTTGAACTCCATATGCATTTTATTTCCCCCCACCCTTTATTTTCTTTTTTGGTCCACCTCACGCGACATGCGGGATCTTTAGTTCCCCAACCAGGAATCAAACCCGTTCCCCTTGCAGTGGCAGCACGGAGTCTTAACCATTGGACTGCCAGGGAAGTCTCATTTTTATTTTTTAATTGAAATACAGTTGTTTTACAATGTTGTGTTGTAAAACTCTATTTCTCATACACTGTGCAGCTGGCCCATGGGCTGCTGTGTGCAGAGTTCTGCCCTTGGTGCTCTTCACTCCTAAGTGTATGTGGTGGTTTTTTAATATTTATTTATTTATTTAGGCTGCGCCGGGTCTTAGTTGCGGCGTTTGGGATCTAGTTCCCTGACCAGGGATTGAACCCGGGCCCCTGCATTGGGAGCGCAGGATCTTACCCACCGGACCACCAGGGAAGTCCTTATGTGGTGGTTTTAAAACATGTCTCCAAATTCCTTTTCACTCCTCCTGTCAGAGGTAGAATCTCATCCCCTGCCTTGTGAATATGGGCTGGCCGTTGTGACTCACTTCTTTTTTTTTTTTTAATTTTATGTATTTTTTTTTTGGCTGCATTGGGTCATCATTGCGGTGCACGGGCTTCTCACTGCGGTGGCTTCTCTTGTTGCGGAGCACCGGCTCTAGGCACGAGGGCTTCAATAGTTGTGGCTCGCAGACTCTAGTTGTGGCGCACAGGCTTAGTTGCTCCACAGCATGTGGGATCTTCCCAGACCAGGGATCGAACACATGTCCCTTGCATTGGCAGGCAGATTCTTAACCACTGCGCCACCAGGGAAGTCCCATGACTCACTTCTAATGACTAGAATTCAGCAGAAGTGACAGTATGGCTGCCACGGCTAGGTTAAAAAATAGGGAGAGTGCTGTTCCCACGTGGCTTGGGTTCATTCTCACTGTCTACTCATCCTTGAAACCCAGTCACATGTGTGAGGAAGCCTAAGACACAAGTAGGTGCCCTGGTTAAAGTCCCAGCAAGGGTCCCAACTGACAGCCAACGTCAACTCTCTGACCCGTAAGCAAGCTCCTTTCCAGATGACTCCAGTCCCAGGCTTCCAGCCACGTCAGCGGATGCCGAGTTATCCCCACTCAGCCCTGGCCAAAAAGCAGATTCATGAGAAAAAAAAAATATTGCTGTCTTAGGCCACTAAGTTCGAGGGTGGTTTGTAGCACAGAAATAGATAATCTGGAACATTCTACATCAGTGTTTCTCACCAAGTGAGTAAGGACAGTACTTCAGAATAACCTGTGGGGCCTTCTCCAGGGTTCACTCTTTATCCCTATTCTTCCCCCACCCCATTCTATTACACTGTTTTAGGGCCTGAATTGGGGAGGGTGAGGAGGAACATGGTAGCCACGAGAGCACTGAGTTGGTTAAGAAATCCCACAGGTGATTCAGATATGCCCTCCCTGTGGATGAAATCTGCTAGACCTGCTCTGTCCAATACGGTAGCCATGAGCTAGGTGTGGTTCTTCAAATTCAAATTCAGTCAAGTAAAACATTCAGCTCTTCAGTCTCACTAATTACATTTCATTTAATTAATCCACTAATTACATTGCAGCTAGTGGCCACTGTATGGACAGTGCAGCTACAGAACACTCCCGCCATCACAGAAAGCCCTATTGGGCGGTGCTGCTTTAGAACCTGGCTTCCCAGACGGTCAGCAGCACCCAAAGAGAGCATCAGAATGCACACTCTCGGGCCCCGCCCAGACCTACTGGATCAGAAGCTGTATCTTATCAGGATACCCAAGTGACGTGTGGGTGCATGAATGTCTGAAAAGCACGGCACTAGCCAGTTCTCAACCTTGGCCATATGTTAGAAGCACCCCGGGAGCTTTTTAAAAAGATTGAGGCTTGGACTTCTCTGGCAGTCCAGTGGTTAAGACTTCACACTTCCACTGCTGGGTGCACAGGTTCGATCCCTGGTCAGGGAACTAAGATCCTGCGTGCTGTGCAGCGCAGCCAAAAAAAAAAAAAAAAAAAGCCTGAGGCTGAAGCCACACCTCAGACCAAGTAAATCAGAATGTCTGGGGAGGGACCCAGGCATCAGTCGTTAAGGTTTTCCAGGTGATTTCAATGGGCGGCCCAGGTTGAGACCCACTGCTATGGTCTACATCCTCTGGGGATCCAACAGCTTCTGCCCTGCAGTGGACACCTGTTGGATTGTTAGACTGACGCCACTATTTGAGGAAGTGTCTTTTCTGAATGGTTGCAGTAAGAGCTGTCACATTTCTATAATGTCACCCCCACCACATACACACACTTAACCGTGAGTTGATTGAATGCCTCAGGTAGGCTGGACCAATGAGTTCTTTCCCTTGGAATTTTGGAACTGAGACTGAATGTCTCTGGGTGACTGAATCTGTTAGATGTGAGGGTTGGGAACTCTCAGTGCTCCCTCTCCCATCACGCGGACCAGAGAGAGGAGCACTGGAGAGAAAGAGAGAGATTTCTGATGCTGTTTGAGTCTCTGGTTCCATTTCCCTCCAGTTGCCCAGCTATAGTCTTGTCCTTGGCTCATGCGTCCTTATAATACATTTCCCTTTGTGCTTAATAGTTTGGGTTGGGTTTCTGTGACCTGCAACCTGCAAATGCTTATTTAATATAATCCTAGGCCTGTTAACTATGTTCCAGAACAGAATTTATTTTTTTTTAAATTTTGGTCTCATGGCTTGCAGGATCTTAGTTCCCCGACCAGGGATTGAACCCGGGCCCACAGCAGTGAAAGAGTCCTAACCACTGGATCACCAAGGAACTCCTGGAACAGAATTTCGAACTAGATCCCACAGGTAACTCAAAGTTACTAAGTAAAAAACTGCTTTATTATTATTGTACAGAACATTTCTTTTTTTGTACTTTTCTATATTGTGTAATATTTCATAATATTAAGAAGGCTTCCTGGGTAAAACTGCCTGATTTATTTGGGCAGCAGGCAGACAGGGGAGGGGAAGAAGCAGGCTTTCCCAGCAGTGCAGCCTCTCTGAGGAAACATCTGTTTGCAAAACTGGAGCTCTGGGCCATGTCTTCTCCGGTCAGAAGTTCCAGATGATGCCAGGCCCAGTGTATGTGGACCTCAAAGGAACAGAGATTTGGGGGCTTGGTGAGCTACCCACTGGGGTTCTGCTCACTTTTAGACTTGCTAAAGGAATTGCTAACTGACTGCCTGGTACCCCCTTCACTTCTGCTTGTATCCCACCTGCCTAATCTGGCCATGCCTACACCTTAGTAGTTCTCTGTAGCGCTAAACTGAAGCCCCATCTGGAGATAACTGGACCTGATGGATCTTGAGGAAACGATCATTTGAGCTGAGTATGTTGGGGGGGGGCCCTGCCCACAAGGTGGCTTTTGTGGGCCCTTTTTCTCCTCCATGATGCTACTTGAAAAGTTAATGAGGTATATTCCAGACTGAGGCTCTCAGTGGCCAACACCTACACTCTATGATGCGTCGCTGCCCACCAGATGTTTCCAGGAGAAAGGAGGGCCCAAGGGGCTACCACAACTTCCCCAACTCCTATGTGTACTGAGCCTGACCATACTCAGGTTCTTGGCCTGATTCTGGCGGAGGTGGATGCTCTCAAGAAAACATCAAGGGACTTCCCTGGTGGCACAGTGGTTAAGAATCCGTCTGCCAACGCAGGGGACACGGGTTCGAGCCCTGGTCCGGGAAGATCCCACATGCCGCGGAGCAACTAAGCCTGTGCACCGCAACTACTGAGCCTGTGCTCTAGTGCCCATGAGCCATAACTGCTGAGCCCGCGTGCCACAACTACTGAAGCCCGCGCGCCTATAGCCCGTGCTCCGCAACAAGAGAAGCCACCGCAATGAGAAGCCTGCGCACCACAACGAAGAGTAGCCCCCGCTCACTGCAGCTAGAGAAAGCCAGCATGCAGCAACGAAGACCCAACGCAGCCAAAAAAAAAAAAAAGAAAGAAAGAAAACATCAAACTTCATGTCCTTTACCACATACCTGACTATCACTGTCTCATTCATCAGAAAGGATTACTACCTCTATGGGTCATTAGTCACCTGAGATCCAGCTGGAGGACTCACTTGTATTCTGGTTCCAGAAAACTCGTCCATCCAAATTCATCCATCCTCTAGCTCTCCCATCCCAATACCAAGGGGTATCAACTGGATCCTGAATACATCACTCCATTGCTGCACTTTCTACATGTAGCAGCACTGGGTGGCCAGACTTCATTTATTTATTATTGTTTCTATTGAGCCATTATTCACATACTAAAAATCTCACCCTTTTCAGGTGTTCCATTCAGTGGTCTTTAGTGTATTCACAAGACTGCAACCACCGCCACTGTCCAATTTCAGAACATTTTCATCTCCCCAAAAGGAAACTGTATACCCACTAGTAGTCACTCCCATTCCCTCCTCCCCCGCAGTCTCTGGCGACCACGATCTGCTTTTCCTCTATGAATTTGTCTATTCTGGACATTTCATATAAATGCAATCATACAATTTGTGGCCTTTTGTGTCTTGTATCTTTCACATCGCATAATGTTTTCAAGGTTCATCCATGCAATAGCATGAATCAGTGCTTCACTCCTTTTTTTTAATCACTGAATAAATAATATTTCATCATATGAATATTTGTCTTTCCCACTACCTGAAAGTAGAGCATTCCTATGAAGCCTTCCGTAGACTGAAATGACAAAGTGAAGAAGTAATTATCTTAGGACACATCTTGCTAATGGATGCACAAACTAGACCAAGATAAAGCACAGATGCCCACAGACACAGTTGAAAACTGTGGTGGCTGGATGCTGAGATGCTGAGTGTGGTTCCTGGGGAAAGAGCTTGGCTGTGCCACTCCCTTGCTTGGGGTATGTGCTGCCTCTATAACCACTCACTGCAAAACAGACACTGAATACTACTCTCACCTTTTGGCTTTTACTGTTGTAAAAGCGAAAATCCTCTTCAGATTTCTTCTGGCTAGCAAAAACAGGTACTAATGTAGGTTTTCCTAAAAGCAAAGTGGCATAAAATGAGCTTTCAAGAAAAGTGGGGAAGGGACTTCCCTGGCGGTCCAGTGGTTAAGACTCTGCACTTCCACTGCAGGGGGCATGGGTTTGATCCCTGGTTGGGGAACTAAGGTCCTGCAAGCTTCATAGCGTGGCCAGAAAGAGAGAGAGAGAAAGAAAGAAAGAAAGAGAAAGAAAGAAAGAAAGAAAGAAAGAAAGAAAGAAAGAAAGAAAGAAAGAAAGAAAGAGAAAGAGGGGCTTCCCTGGTGGCACAGTGGTTAAGAATCCACCTGCCAAATCAGGGGACGCGAACAAAGTTCTAGCCCTGGTCCAGGAAGATCCCACATGCCGCTGAGCAGCTAAGCCTGTGCACCACAACTACTGAGCCTGTGCACCACAACTACTGAGCCTGCACACCACAACTACTGAAGCCCATGTGCCTAGAGCCCATGCTCCGCAACAAGGGTAGCGCCTGCTCCCCGCAACTAGAGAAAGCCCGCGTGCATCAACGAAGACCCAATGCAACCAAAAATAAAGTGAAAGAAAGAAAGAAAGAAAGGAAGGAAGGAAGAAAAGTGAGGGATACCTGTACCACATTTTGTTTATCCTTTCCTCGGTTGATGGACATGTGGGTTGTTTCCACTCTTTGCCTATTACAAGTAATGCTGCTAGAAACATTCAGGTCCAGGTTTTTGGGTGGACATATGATTTCAGTTCCTTTTCTGTACATACCTAGGAGTAGAATTTCTCATTCATATGGTAATTCTATGTGTAACTTTTTGAGGAACTGTGGGTGGCCAAATTTACAACTATTAAGTTCATCCACTTCTTACTTTCTGCTCAGAACTCGCATTCCTCCAGCAACGACAGCTCCACACCTTCCCCTTCCACATTGTTGAGGACCTCAATGAACCTGGCTCCTGAGCAAAATGTGGAGGACACCAACCTCAGGCTAGAAGAGCAGCAGCAGCAGGCGCTGGGGAGACAACCCTTCAGGAAGACGGCGCTGTCTTCCTGCCATGCTTACGCCACCCATCCTGGCTGAAGCCTAAAGACTCCTTCTTAAGCAACGTTACTGCAACCAGAGTTCTGGGTTTCATGCTTCAAGTGGCCTTCATCCACAACCCACAACCCACATCTCACCACTGCCTACTGAGCAAGGTGTGTTTGGACCTTGCCACGCCCACCTGGGGTCAAGAGGCAGCAACCAGGAATGGCAGGGACGTGATCAGTGGGGGAGGTTCCTGATTCGCGCTCCAGACCACACATCAGCACAGCTGAGGGCTCCAAGCAGAATGTTGGTGAAAAGTTGCTTTACACTTCAGAATTTCAGCTTCTGCAGATGAAGGAACATGCAGTCAACCCTCAGCTTCTCCCAACCAGATGGAATTAAACCGCACTCCCTCTTCGTGTTCTCCGTAAAGTGCAGCCTCAGGTGTGAGAAGCAGAGAAGCGGGCAGCAGACGGGCACATTTTATACTTGGACACTGAGGCTTAGAAGGGTTGAGTAGCCTGTCTGGGGTGACTAACGATCCTATTTTGCCCGGGCCTGTCCTGGTTTTAGCAGTGAAAGTTCCATGTCCCAAAATACCCTTAATTTTGGGCAAACTGAGAAAGCTGGTTAGTGTCTTCCAAAGTCACACAACTAGCTGGAGCTGAATCTGAACCCAGATCTCACCATCTCCCATGTCCTCCTCCCGCTGAATGAATGACTTCCTGAGCAGGTCAATCACGTGAAATATATTCAGAGCAACAAGAGATCCAGGTGTTTCCTGATGCTCTTCCCTTCCCTTTTGCCCTCTCTGCAGGGGTGCCCAGACCAGCTGAGAGTTCCATCCCTTACCCAGGGCCATCCTGATGCCTACAGTGAATAAGGACAGGGCCGCTGAGCTCAGGAGAGCTTTATCACTGCCAGGGCCTGCCAGGTCTCACCTACCTGGCTCCCCAAGATCTCAAGAGTCAGAGATTCCAACCTTGAGAGCTGTGAAAAATGAATTAGAGAGGTCCCAAGTGCCACCTCTTTGGGGAAATCTGGGGAGATGGAAAGAACCTGGGCTTTGGAACCAGTCAGCCCTGGATTTAATCTGAGCTTCCCATCTTTTTTTTCTTTTTTTTTTATACTTTAAAAATTTTTAATTTTATTTTGGAGTATAGTTGATTAACAATGTGTTAGTTTCAGGTGTACAGCAAAGTGATTCAGTTATACATATACATGTATCTTTTTTATACATATATCATGTATTCTTTTTCAAATTCTCTTCCCATTTAGGTTGTTACAGAATACAGAGCAGAGGGACTTCCCTGGTGGTCCAGTGGTTAAGACTCCGCACTTCCAATGCAGGGGGTGCAGGTTCGGGGAACTAAGATCCCACATGCCATGCGGCGTGGCCAAAAAAAGTAAAAAAAGAATATTGAGCAGAGTACTCTGTGCTGAGCTTCCCATCTTAATAGCTCCAAGGGACTTGGCAGTCTTCTTAATTTGTGCCTGAATTTCTATTTTTCCCAAATTCCCAACTTGAAGGGCTGCTGAGGAGATAATATTAAATACTTTATATAAAGAACCTCATTTAGCACTTCGGTCCTTGTTTACCTTGACCTAGCATTGCTTCTCATCTCATCTTTCAAGACCATAAAGATCTGCCCCTCCACACTAGGGACTGCCTTAGACCTTCTTACCATTCAGGATTGCTCTACATTGACCATCGAATTCCCCAAGCACTGAGCCTCCCCTTCCTCTTGCTCCACCTGATGGTCCATCTTACTGACATTTCTTTTTCCTGGAGCCCACATCCTGGAGGTCATCACTGACTACCCGCCCTCTTTGACCTCACTCCACTTCCTCTGTAACCTTGACTTCATTGTGAATCACTTCAACCCCACTCCTTACAGCCTTCCTCATAAACCTTCTGCCTTGAGCCAATACAACCACCTGCTCTTTGTCCTATCGGAGAAAATCACACAACCCACGATAGTCAGTGCCTCTAGTCGCCCTGTAACATGGATCTGGACAACTCTCGTTCCCCTCCCAACAGTTGCTCTTCCAAACATTTCACAGCTTCCCTAAAGAGACCTGCGCAATGCCACCAATTCTCCATCAGCTGATAATCTCTTCCTCTCTCCCCACGAAGAAATCTGGGGTTTTCGGCAGGAGCCCCAGCTCTCTTCCTTGTTGATTCTCTGCCCTCCAGGATGGGGTTGGCCCCCTTACCCCTTATCCCCACCCTAGCAAGGAGAGATTAGTAATCATAAATATCATGGTCTGCTCTTGGCTTCATTCATGGCTTGCCTGGGGATTCTTACTGGCTTCCTCCGGTTCTTGCAGCCCTATCTGCTCTGATACTTTCCTCCTGTAGTGAAGGAAGGTGTTTCCCACTTTGTACCCTCCACTGACCGTCCTACCCTTTTAAAATGTCTCTATTCCTCCTATGCCCCTGCTCCCAGCCATAAATGATTGTGTCTTCTATGTACCTCACAATTTACTGAACACATTTTTCTATCTAATTTAATCCTCTAAAATAACCCTCTGAAGTGGATCTTTTAAAAAAATTTTATTTATTTATATTGAAGTACTGTTGATTTATAATGTTTCAGGTGTACAACAAAGTAATTCTTTTCCATTATAGGTTATTACAAGATATTGAATATCGTTCCCTGCGCTGTATAGTAGATTCTTGCTGTTTATCTATTTTACCTATGATAGTGTGTATCTCTTAATCTCAAATTCCTGTTATCCTTCCCCCACTTTTCCCTTTGGTAACCATAAGTTTGTTTTCTATGTCTGTGAGTCTATTTCTGTTTTGTAAATAAGTTCATTTGTATCTTTTTTTTATGAAGAGGATCTTATTGTTCCTTTATCAATGATGGTTCAGAGACTAAGTAATTTGCCCAAGACAAGTGATAGCGCTGGATGGACCTCAGCCTGCTTCTCTCTTTTCACTCTGCAATCCTGGCATCAATGACCACACTTCCCTGGCCACAGGTGGGATGTGCATTTCCTCCTCTGTGCTTGGCTGAATCCCCGCTGCGTTCATTCACTGCACTCTGAAGATGTATTCCTTTATGTTTGCCCCTCATAAGGCTGTGAGCCCCTCCAGGGTGGGGAACTTCATTTCTGTTTTCCAGGTTCCCTCAGTAAATGCTTTTGATCACATCAAGTTCAAGCTACCTTGGCCTGTGTGTCAGGTTAGTTGTGGCTAGTTGACCATTTTGCCTTCACACTTTCATAAAATGAGTGGACATGAAAAAGTGATGATACTAGAGAAAAGGTGTGAGATCTCGTGGCCTTGGTACAATAGGGACAAAGCTGAGAAGAACTGCAGATGCTAAAATCAATGACGCCGGCCTCAGTTGGACGTGCAATGGGCTTTAGTTGGTCTGCACTGTATTCAACTGGGAAGGAAGAAAACGAAATCGAAGCATGTGTATAGAAGGCTAGGAATATATGATTTAGGGGTATAACTAAAACACGAGGGGCAGTTAGAAATTTTATGATTTTCTCACTTGCCCTGGACGGAGCCCCTCCTTAGAATGTGAGACTGTGTTGTTTTACTTGCGCACACTTGATTCATATAGAAACAGTCCCTTGGCACTCACCGTGCACTAGGCCATGTTCTGGAGTGAACCCTAAGAGCTGGGTACGGTTACCACCCACCCTTCTTTTTTTTAAGATGAGAAAACAAAAGCAGAGAGAAGTAAAATAACTTGCTACAGGTGCTCACTTCAGCAGCACATATTCTAAAACCGTAGAAACAGAGAAGAGTAGCATGGCTACTGCACAAGGAGGACACAAATTTGTAAAGCATTCCATTTTTTAAAAATTTGTTTTACTTATTTATTTTTGGCTGCGTTGGGTCTTCGTTGCTGCTCGCAGGCTTTCTCTAGTTGCGGCGAGCAGGGGCTACTCTTCGTTGCGGTGCACAGGCTTCTCATTACGGTGGCTTTTCTTGTTGCGGAGCACGGGCTCTAGGCACAGCCTTCAGCAGTTGTGGCTCATGGGCTCTAGAGCGCAGGCTCAGTAGCTGTGGTGCACAGGCTTAGTTGCTCCGCGGCATGTGGGATCTTCCCGGACCAGGGCTCTAACCCATGTCCTCTGCACTGACGGGTGGATTTTTAACCACTGCGCCACCAGAGAAGTCCAAAGCATTCCATATTTTTATGACCAACTCTCTACAAATTCTTATCTGTGGAGAAGACAATGCTTAGATCTGCATCACAATCACCCTTGTTTACTGTGTGTTTTCCTGCTCACCTCCCAGAACAGACTCTCCCCACCCTCAACATCCTCTTCTGTCTTTAGCTGAGGGTGGCATTTAAGATGAGGGCTTCGCCCATTTTGGCAAGTTACTCAATTTTTCTGGGACTCTCCCATGTACACATGTTATTAAACTTTGATTTTCTCCTGTTTAAAAATAAATAAATAAATAAATAACTTGCCCCAGGCACACGTGTGCCCTCTGTGTAGTGGTGGCTGGATTCCAACACAGTCTGTGCTTTTCACCAGCACATCACACTATCTCTGTCTTAATGCATTTGCAGAACACATCATGCATGAGAGCAGATGACTGTTTGAACTACACGTGATGTGTAAAGGAAACCAAATCTGCTCCTATTTTTAGATGAATTCCTCCTGACACAAAGCAAGAATGACTGCTTCCTGGTGGAGCGACTCCCACTTTGATAGTTTATCCAGCATATATGAGCACTGGATATAGCTGATCCTACCACTCAGATGGACAAGGATTTCATCCCTTTGAATATTATATTGTCATATGTTCTGGAGAGTGATTATTTTTGTGAGGAGGAGGAAAACAAATTAAAGGAAACGAAGGAAAAATAAACTAAATGAAGGAAAAAAAAGTTGCAGTTGATAATTCAGTAAGAGGGGTAGAGACTGAAAGCAAAAACAGAGCTTAAAAAAAGTTACCGTGTAATTATATCTCAATAAAAGGAAATAAAAACCAGATTCCCAAGTGACTTTAACTTTTGTTCTTCAAGCCAACTTACACAAAATTCTTTTTCAAGTCTTATGATGCGTTTGACAAGATCTCCAGGATCTAAACTCAAGCTAAACCATAAGATAAAGCTAACTGCAGATGAAAAAGATATGGCTGCCTACACCATCTTTATCTGAAAGAGACCAAAAAGGAAGGCCGTATTTTGTGAAATTCTCAACAGAGAAGAGAATAAACATTTACCCAGTACTTACCACGTGCCAGGCCTGTCAACAGAGATTGGTTGATCTCCTTATCTCCAATATACAGATGAAGAAGCTGAGGCCCAGTAGGTCATGAAGAGAGTAAGGACTGGACCCAAGCTTTAACCCATGTCTCTTTTTAATACAACATTCTGTCCACAAATTCTTGGTACATCGCTATAGGTTTCTGACTTCAAAAATGATTAATATATAATCATTTTGTAATATATACACATATCAAATCATGATGCTATATACTTGAAACTAATATAATGTTATATGTCAATTATATCTCAATTTAAAATAATTAACAGTGTACACTTATCAACCCAGATCTGGGTCTCCAGAGCCACTCTAGTTACTGCCCTAGATGTGTCCCAGTCCACTTCTATCCTGACAGTTTTGAACAAATAGCATTGGTATATGAAGAAATTGTATTTGAACCTTACCCTTTGAGTTAAAAAACTGCAATTCGTAATAGGAAATAACATGTCATATCGTGACCCACTACACACAGATAGAGTGTTTAAGTGCACTACTTCAAGAAACAATATTGGGACTTCTCTGGCCGTGCAGTGGTTAGGACTCGGCGCTTCCACTGCCAGGGCCCCAGCTTCGATCCCTGGTCAGAGAACTAAGGTTCCGCAAGCCGCAGGGCCAAAAAAAAAAAACACCCAAAAAACAAACAAACAAAAACCCCCAATATTGGGGCTTCCCTGGTGGTGCAGTGGTTGAGAGTCCGCCTGCCGATGCAGCGGACGTGGGTTCGTGCCCCGGTCCGGGAAGATCCCACATGCTGTGGAGCGGCTGGGCCCGTGAGCCATGGCCGCTGGGCCTGCGCGTCCGGAGCCTGTGCTCCGCAACGGGAGAGGCCACAACAGTGAGAGCCCCACATATCGCAAAAAACAAAACAAACAAAAAACAATATTTAACTTTGTTACATGCACTGCTCTCCTGTTTTCTTTTCTATTCCACTTTTAAAATATGCTGATCTTGAGCTGTTAAACTGATTTCATGGCACACCAATGGGTTAAGATCTACCGTTTGAAAAACACTGTCCTTTAGGGGTTTGGTTGATCTTGAGATATTTTTTTCTTGTTTTATAAATGCAGAAATATAGGCTCTAAAGAATGAGGTGACTTTCTTAAATTCACACAGCTAAGAAATATTGGATGGAGGACCTCAACACAGAATTCTGTGTTTATGCCCAGTATTCTTCTGACTACAGAATTTCTTCAGAGGAAGTGTAAATGAGAAATTGAAGAAAGCCCATATGCAACCCTGTGAGAAGAGAGACATAGCTGTGTGAAGAGTCAAAAGAGGAACATTTCATAGGAGTCTTGCTGCAGCTGACGCATTTGACAGTCATTTCTAGGGGACGCCTGCTCTGGGCCAGGTGAGATGCAGGACCTGGGAATTCAGAGGTAGGGACTACACAGTTCCTGCCTTAGGATGGGCTCCCGTTTCAGTGGAGGAGGCTTCCCTGTAAACAGATAAATTACGGTGCAGGGTAATTAGAACCAGACTAGTGATGGAGGAAGCACAGCTGGAGGCTGTGAGTGGGGGACAGAACCATGAGAGAAAGGAGCCATGAATTCTGTTCAAAGTGAGGGGCTGGGAAGAGAAGGGAGTTGAGGAGAGCAGGCTTGGTGGTGGGCGCAGGGGGTGGCCGAGCTGGTGGTATGGGCAGAATATCTTGAGGGTAGAAGGCACTGGGTGGGCAGAGGAGGGGAGCATTTTGGGCAGCCATGTAACCGAGCAGGACCCTAGGAGGCTTCCCCAGAATAGACCCCCACCCACGTTCTCCACCTGCCTTTTGTCTGTAGAAAAACTTTAGTCAAAGAATAAATTTAATCAGAGAAGCAAGAAAATGCAGAAAGAAAGGGAATCGGTCAAGCAAGACAAAATAATAATACTTTAGCCATTAATCAAAGTCAAGGACCTTTAGTTCCTCCTCAAGGACTATAGATATTATTCTAAGCCACATCCTTTGAGCTATTTTACAGATACTAAAACTCCCACCAGGTGGAAGAAGTTAACTGTACGCTGTCCACAAGCGCGTAGACCCCAGACCAGTTGGAACCAGAAGGTTGATGATGCCGACTCCCGATTACCTCACCACCAACCAATCAGAAGAATGTCCACGAGCTGACCACACCCTGCTCCTTGAACACTGTAAGACTCCTCACCACCCGCTCCGGGGTGGGGCGCACAGTCTTGAGGATGTTAGCCCACTGTGGCCCCCTTTGTCTGGCAAAGCAATAAAAGCTACTCTTTTCTACCTCACCCCAAACTCTGTCTCCTCCTTTCTCTTCGCATTTCTATTTGGCACCGGTGAAGAGGCCGGTTTTTGGGAACAGCTGGAGTAGCAAGACCAAACTAGTAGGCCACTGAGGGGCTGGCGTGTGGGGCACGAGGTTCAGGGAGGTAGAACCCCCTTTTTCAACTTAGTGAGGTCACTTCTGCTCTCTAGACTTTATCCATTGGAACAGTGAAGAGTGAGCAGAAAAGCAAGCTCATGTTTGTTTTCATGGTAAAACCCTTTGCTCAAATGAAACCTCCATGGAGGCCCAATGTATAAATGAGGAGGTGGAGGATGTTTTCTTCTTAACAGGAAACAGATCTGCTGTTGTTTGGAACTATATTGTGAAAACTCCTTGATGGGGGGAAGGGGCAGATTCTCACCCTGGGGTCTGAACATGCACCGAGACTTGGAAAAGACAGAGCTGCTTTGTCTGAGGGAGGGAGGGCCTCTCGGGCAGTCCAGGAGGGCAGGCGAGAGGGGCCCAGCAAATTGGGGGGAGGGTCACTCCCCTCTTGCCATGGCCTCCCTTCCCCAGCCTCACCCACCCGCAGTCCATTCTCCACTCTATCAAAATGCGGAGGAACCCTTTTAAAAGGCAAAACCCTTCAATGGCTCCCCTCCCTCTCGGAAGGAATCCAAACTCCTGACCATGGCCTCCCAGGCCCTGCGCCCTCCGCCCGCTGGCTGCTGCCCAAACCTTGCCTGCCACTGGCTTCCCTCACTTACCACCAGCCGCCCTGCCCTCCTTGCTGTTTCTGAATTCATCCCACGTGCTTCCTGCTCAGGGCTCTGGTACTTATTTTTCCCTCTGCCCGGCCCACTCCTCACCCAAATATCTGTATTTCTCTCCATCACTTCAATCAGGTCTCTTTGCAAATGTTACCTGAGCAGAGGACCCTTTAAGCCAGAGCAGCAGCCTCTCCATCCCTCTTCACGTTCTCGCTCTGCTTTGATGATTTCTTCATAGCACATATCATGTAGTAACATTCATTTGATGACTCCCCCTGCTAGAGTGAAAGCTCCTGAGGGTGGGATTTGACTCTCTTCTTCCTTACTATCTCTCCAGCAACTGCGGTGGTGCCTCCAACATAGAGATGCTCCATAAACATGTGCTGAGTTAGTCGCTTTGCTAAAGGGGCAGAGGAGTCAGTGAGTGTAAGTTGCCTGTGATAGCAGAAAGCTTGGGAAGGCTTTGGACTTTCCCTGCCTGTAGCACTGGAGCAGGGGTACCTTCCACTGCTTATAGGGACTGGGGCAGTTAGGCACCCAGCTGGCACATGGGTTAAATGTGAACTAGTTTAAATAGGAGCTAATGAGGTAGAAGCAGAGGGGGGCCTGGTGTCCCAGGGCCTTCACCTTCTTCCTTTTGGATCCTCAGGCACAGCACCAGCGCAAACTCTAAGATGTACCAGCATTAGCTACACAGTGGCCTTCCTTGTCTCCAGGACGACAGAGGATGAACCCTGAGACCCCTCCCACTGGAGGAAGCGTATCTCTGTCACTCTGGAAAGGGGACTCAGGAACTTTTGCCCAGAACCCAGGGACCAGTCTGCAGGCATGGAGGAGACTCTGGATCTCGGCATGAAACTGAACCTATGACAAGTGTAGGAGCCTCTATTCTGAGGGTCCCAGATGTGTCAGTCATGGAAATGTGAGGGTGTTTTCCCAAGGTGTTCACCTCAGGCCTCCCTGAGCTGCCATCTTTGATTCCCTGTGTTTGGTCACAGACTCTGTGATGTGCTCCTATTAAAGAAGAAGAGACGCGTGATAATGAGAGAGGAGAGAGGGGGAGGAGTCAGAGAGAGAGCTTGGGAGAGATGAAGAGACAAAGAAGAGAAGAGGCACCAAGAAAGAGAGAATATAAAGGGAAAAGCTCAGGGCAAGAGATGTCAGGGAAAGATCAAGACATTAAAGGAAGGAGAGAGAATCAGGGAAGAAAGGCAAGCACAAGAAAGGACAGAAGCCATAAGAGAACAAAATGGCTGGAATGAAGTAAAAGTTGTCACCAGGATGTGCTCGTTTTGGACATGCAGAAGGTTGGAGAGGGGAGATCACAAAGGGCATCCTTGGCTGCCCTCTTAGCTCCCGGAATCTCCCTGCCAGGAGCTCCACCCTACTTCCGGCTCATCAGGGTGGGGCTCCCTGTGTTTCCTGGGACGAGTCCTCAGTCCCAGATGGTGAGCCTATAAGGGGGTGGGGTACTCCGAATGCCACGCTCCTGATCATTACTAACCAAGGCTAAGGGTTCCAGCCCCTCCTTGGGCTTTGTCTTTCTGCCCTGCTGACACAGTGGGTCAGAGGGCCAGTCCTAGAGGGGCCCCAGAAGAGAAGGGCTGGCAAAGAGAAGAAATCGATGACACCAACCCTGGGGAAGTTTCAGACCTACAGGAGGGAGCCGTTGCCCTGTGTGGGCTACAGCCCCAGGAAGATTCAGCTATGGCGCCCAGGAGTCCTGAGGGCCCAGAACTGTCCCCAGAGGAGGACCTGTCTGCTTTTACTTCCTCAGCTTCCCACTTGCCTGCTGCACTGACTCTACCTGTTCCAGGGAGGGGGATCTCCAGGTGTCCTGTGGCCTCAAGTCACCGTTCTCAGAGAGAAAAAGTTTGTGAAGAGTCTGACAGATCGAGGATGGATGAATGGAAAAAATAGAAAGTACAGCAAAATATTAAGATAGAATCTACATGGTGGGCATAGGGATGTTCACTGTACAATTGGATTTTTTCAAATAAAATATAAGGGGAGAGAAAAAAGGTGTCTGGCAAATAGTAGGCATTCCTAAGTATAAGGCGTTGGGAGTGTAATCCCTTTCCAGGAGAATCTATATTTCAAATACCTGCAGAGGACAATGTTTATCCTGAAAGATGGCAGATTGCAGGTGAGGGCACCAGCAGAAACAAAATAGGGGAAGGAGAACCTTGGACCACACCCAGAGGTGATTAGGAAGTTTGCCCGCCCAAAGCAGCTGGCCCTTCGGTTGGTGATCTTTTCTCAAGTTTATTCTGCCTCTCCTGAGATCTGGGCTTTGGTCCAGAGTTGACCCCACCCTGCCACCAGACCCTGCCTGACAACTGACCCTAAGAGTTTGATCATGTTTGCTCAGGAGGTAAGGTTCACGCAATGAAGAGCAGGGGGAGGGCTTGGACGAGGTATAAAAGACCTGGAAGTTTCCAGGGGGTTACTTTGCACTTGAAAGTGCCAGGTGAGGGGTGACAGAGGTGTGGGCTGAGGGGTAACAGGGATGCCTGGATTTGAATTAGAGGGGATTCACGCTGAGCTGAAGAAGAGGCTTCCTGGATTGAATGGCTGGGAAGACCTGCGTGTCAGCTAACCCGGGGCATCTGGTTGTGAGCTAGTCTTAGGTGTAAGGATATCTGGATCTCAGCTGAAGGACTGGGGACACCTGGGATACACCTACGGCCAGATTTGTGTTAGTGGAGAAGGAGGTATGACAAATAGACCAGGTGCCTGGGATCTCCTATCTTAAGCCGGTTCCGATTTCTTCTCCAACTTCTCAGTCTATCCCACCTGCACCAGAACTGCTTGGACAGTGCTGTTGGCTGTTTCTTCTATCACCACCTTCACTCCCCAAGTGACCCAGAGACCCACCTCTAAAATGCTCCTTTCCTTCTGATTTGAGACTAGGATGAAACTAGGAATTTAAACTATGCCCCAGATGTCCCACAGACTGGGCCAATCTACCACAGGCCTACTTCAGTTAGGTTTTGCTCTGACTCCTGGTTTGATAAGCTCAACCATCTCTAGGATTTGGAGATGTCCTCCACTTCTTCTTTAGAAAGCTCCTTTCCTGCTTTGTGCCAGGAGGGAACAGGGCTTGACAAAGCTTAATCCAGTTAGAAGGTCAGGACTGACCTTCTGGCTTGGGAGGGAAGAGAAGGATCGGCTGTAGCCAGACCGGAGAGAGGCAGAGGGATTGAGGACACATAAGATAGTATTTGTGACAAACAGGACTAGAGAGTGTGGACAGTTCTTTCTAAGACCAAGACTGGGTGGATGAGGTCTGAGTTGAAGGACCAAGAAACCCGAGGCTCAACTGGAGATCAGGGGTGCCTGGGTAAATGATATCTGGGGGGATAAGGGTAAACGTTCACTTTCTCCTTTCTTCCCACTCCAGCCCCAGGATGTTGACCGTTGCTTTTCTTGCCCTTCTTTGTGCATCAGCCTCTGCCAGTGAGCGTAAGTGAGAAACCAGGAGCCCAGCACTAGAGTCAGGGGAAGCAGCTTCCTGTACTGCTGGTGGCCAAGGCTGTCAGTGGCTGACTTGGGGTGGTGGGAACTGAGTTGTGGGGGGAATAAGGGTGGTGGGGAGAAACTGAGCTCTCAGGGGATTTCTCCCCCCAACTCCTCCTTTCCCTCCAGTTCAGGCCAGCTCCTCCTCTTTCAGTGGAGAGTATGGAGGCCATGGAGGAAGGCGATTCTCCCATTCTGGAAACCAGCTGGATGGCCCCATCACTGCCATTCGTGTCCGAGTTAACAGCTACTACATCATAGGGTAAGATTCTTTGCGTTTCGGTGGTTTGGGGACCTTCTAGGATCTTACTAAACTGTGAATTTCTCAGTCACTTTGGATCACATCTGTTTCAATCAAGTCACAGGGATAACAGGATATGGAAAAATTATTAGAGGACTTGGATTTGAGACCTGTGCTGTCGAAACCCCTAACACACCCACACTTGTGATCTTGGGTAAATCATATACCATCAACTCAGAGGGACCTGGAAGTTGTCTAGTTTTTCCCCCAACCAAGGTTTAAATCCCCTCTGGCATCCTCCATCTTTGCTTGATGGCTCTCCCAAAACTTTATCCTTCTGATCCTGGATTTGTATCCTAGCACAGCATGGACAAGTCTCTTCCTTCATCGGAGCCTTTCAGATGTTTGAAAAATCCCTTTTCTTGTTTCAAGTAGGGGGTGGGGGCCTGGTGGGAGTGTAGACTTCAAATTCAAGCTCTGATATTCCCTGTCTGGGTGATTCTGGGCAAGTTGTTTTCCCTCTGTGAGCCTTTTTGTCAGCAAAATGAGGAGTTGAAGTTCCATGTATGATCTCCAAGGGCTTACCCAACCCTCACATTCTGTGGGACTGGCAGGGGGTTTGTCATCCCTGTCACTAGTCTGAAGGTCTCAGCCTGTAGGCCAAGAGGTCCTGAATTCTGATCACCTTACTCAGTGTCTCCCTTCCTTCCCTCCTCACCCCTGTCCTTAGTCTCCAGGTGTGCTACGGCAAGGTGTGGAGCGATTACGTGGGTGGCAAGTTGGGAAAGCTGAAAGAGATCTCCCTGTACCCTGGGGAATCAGTGGTCCAGGTGTCGGGAAAGTACAAGAACTACCTGAGAAAGCTGGTCTTTGTGACTGACAAGTCCCGCGTCTTGACTTTTGGGAAAGACAGAGGCAAGAGTTTCAAAGCTGTCCCCTTGCACCCCAACACTGTGCTTCGATTCATCAGTGGCCGATCTGGCCGATCCATTATCAATGCCATTGGCTTCCACTGGGGTGTCTACCCCAGTAAACACGAGAACTGCTGAGTTGTCCTGCAACACTGCAGTGGGGGTATGGGAACCCCTCACCACTAACCACCATCCACCTGTCTCAATAAAAAAAATAATAAAAGGGCATGGCTAAAGCGTGTGTATGGGTGCCTGTAGCTGGGATCCACCTCTTGACTCTGGGTATGGACGTGTGACTCTCATTTCTGGCTATTCGTCAGACGTCAATCTGGGGAAGAGTGGGAGGATGAGGGAGAGAGGTGTAAGAATCCTGGGCTTTTCTTCATAATTTATTAAGAGGAGATAAGATTCTGGCCTGCACCAATTCTTTTTTTCAAGTGTTTACCCAAACTGGAGTTCTAAGGCTGAAGGTAAGACCTAGTTGTGGCTTATTGCGAAAACCCCAGATGTTCCACTCTCCAGCCCTTTTCTCCCCTTTGTCTTCCCCTTGAGATAGTGCCTCTCCACCAAAAGGCTGTCACCTCACTCTCCCGACCTTAACCCCCTCACTGTACGTGGGTGGCCTGAGCCATCATCCTTTGTTATTTCCCAGAACCCACCTGACTCCCAAAATTTAGCCTAAGTTCCTGCCAAGGGCTTTGCCTATTACCCCAGCCTAGTTGCTCCCCACCTTTACTCATAAGCCCTGGTGTCCTTGCTCAGCTCTCTCAGACCGCAGTTCTTTCCTCAGGAAGCCACCACCTCCTCAACAGCTTCTACTCTGCCAATATTACCCTCAAAACAAGGACATCCCAAGGTGGGGGGGTAGGGGGGTAGAGATTTCCATCATGGGTTTCCATGAAGAGAAGGGGCTGGTTAGAGTCCAGGGGAAGCATTAGGGTGACTGGATAGATTGAGCAAGGATACAAAGTTGCTTTGGAAATAATTCTTAGGACTCTAGCTCCCGGTCCTAAATTTTTGACTGTTTTTTGTTTGTTTTTTGTGTGTGTGTGCTGGTGATTGGGGGTGGGGGAACTTACTCACTGCTCCCAATAAGTTTATACACATCCCAGAGAATCCCAGTCACATTTCTTCACAATTAGACAAAGATAACAGTTATGCACATGTAATTTTATAAAGAAATATTAACATTACACAAACTTATGCCTAGTCTGTTTTTATAAAAATTCCTTTATTTCTCTCAATTCCATGGAATGGAATACTATGCCACTGTAATTATATTTTTATTGAGATATAAACCACATAATATAAAATTCACCCTTTTAGAGTGTGCCATTCAGAGGTTTTTAGTATATTCACAAATTGTGCAACCATCACCACTCTCTAATCCCAGAATACTTTTACCACCTCAAAAGAAACCCCATCCCCATTAAGTAGTCACTCTCCATTCTCCTCTCCCCCAGGCCCTGGTAACCCTCATCTACTTTCTGTCTCTATGGATTTGCCTATTCCGGACATTTCATACAGATCAAATTATACAACAATGTGGCCTTTTATGTCTAGCTTCTTCCATGTAACATAATATTTTCAAGTTTTATCCATGTTATAGCACGTATCAGTACTTCAATCCTTTTTATGGCTGAATCTGACAGGCTTCTGACAGATCAGATATCTGGTCAACTGTAGGAAAGCCTCTGTTTTCACACTATGCCCACTTAAGGCACTGGCACCTCAGGGGCAGCATGGCACAGGGGACTAAGGGAAGGGATTGCTGGCTCTTATCTAGTCTACACATTAGGTTTTGGCAGGAGATTATGACTGAAGAAAATATCCCCTTACTTAAAAACTTAAGCTTTAAAATTGCTGAATTAAGCTAATCACACATTTACCAACTATCCCCTGCTAGGATCTGGTTCTTTCCCTCTAGTCAAACTGTTTTATTGGTGCCATAAGAAAGGTGTTTTTCATAGGATGCTAAAGGAGCCAAAAAGAAGACTAACTTTCTCTGGGAGGTCAGGGAAGACTGTGTGTGTGTGTGTGTGTGTGTGTGTGTGTGTGTGTGTGTGTGTGGTGTAGGGGAACAGTACTGGGCCCAGCTTATGCAGAAATATGAAGATATGAGAACTACAAGTGGTTCAGTACAGGTAAAATGCAAATCACAATTGGGCCAAAGATGAAGCCTCACGGAAAGGCAGGAACCGCGAATATCATACTGAACTATTTAAACTTTATCTTATAAGTTACGGGGAGCCACTGAAAACTTTGCCCAGGGGATTGATAAGATTTAGAAGAATATATAATTTTCCTGGTATAAGTGGGGAAAATGGACTAAAGGTAAAGCAGGATGAGATACGAAAATAGTTAAGAGACTAGTTCTAGATCAGAAATGATGTCTATACAAAGGCAGTAATATGAGGAAAAGAGAAAAGGGAAGAATTTGAGAGATTTGAGGTGGAAGATAGGCTCAGAAGAACTTGATAACTGAATGCACGAGGGTGAGTGAAGGAGAATCTAGGAGAATTACCATGTTAGTAGCTTGGGAAACTGGGAAGACTGTTACTCTCTGAGACGGGGAATACAAAAGAAAAATTAATTAGCTTTTGGACCCATTGAGTTTTGAAATATAGTTGATTTACAATGCTGTGCCAATCTCTTCTGTACCGCAAAGTGACTCAGTTACACACATTCTTTTTTGTATATTCTTTTCCATATGGTTTATCACAGGATATTGAATATAATTCCCTGTGCTATACAGTAGGACCTTGTTGTTTATCCATCCTATATATAATAGTTTGCATCTGCTAACCCCACACTCCCAGTCCTTCCCTCCCCGCCCCCTCCCCCTTGGCAACCACAAGTCTGTTCTCTGTCAGTGAGTCTGTTTCTGTTTTGTAGATAGGTTCATTGGACCCACTGCGGTTTTGTTTTTTTCTTATAAATTTATTTTTATTTTTGGATGCGTTGGGTCTTTGTTGCTGCGAGCGGGCTTTCTCTAGTTGCAGCGAGCGGGGGCTACTCTTCATTGCAGTGTGCAGGCTTCTCATTGCGGTGGCTTCTCTTGTTGTGGAGCACAGGCTCTAGGCATGCGGGCTTCAGCAGTTGTGTCACGCGGGCTCAGTAGTTGTAGCACACGGGCTCTAGAGAGCAGGCTCAGTAGTTGTGGCACACAGGCTTAGCTGCTCCGCAGCATGTAGGATCTTCCCAGACCAGGGCTTGAACCTGTGTCCCCTGCAATGGCAGGCGTATTCTTAACCACTGCACCACAAGGGAAGTTCCCCCATTGCGTTTTTTTGGTCTTTGTTTGTTTGTTTGTTTTGCGGTACTTGGGCCCCTCACTGTTGTGGCCTCTCCTGTTGCAGAACACAGGCTCTGGACACGCAGGCTCAGCGGTCATGGCTCACGGGCCCAGCCGCTCCGCGGCATGTGGGATCTTCCCGGACTGGGGCACGAACCCGCATCCGCTGCATCGGCAGGCGGACTCCCGACCACTGCGCCACCAGGGAAGCCCCCCCATTGAGTTTTGATGTATCTGTGGCACATTCTGGAATGGGGACATGTCTGGAAATATCATTGGGCAGAGGGATATTTGGGAATAAAGCTTTGATATGAGTTTGATATAGGGCTTAGGTTCAGGAGTCACCAGCACATAGATAATGAAGTTCAAGTGATGGGTGTGGAAGAAGTCACCCAGGGAAACTGTAGGCATATAAAATGATAAAAGGCTGAAGTCAGAGAGGACTGGGTAACACCAGAGTTTGACAGTTGGTCCGAAGAAGAAGAATCAGTTAAAGAAATAGAGAATGGAGTGGTCTCGGAGGTGAAGGGAAGGAGGAGTGATGCACTCAAAGGCAAGACAGAAATTTCAAGGAGTGGTTAATGCCTCTGAGGAGTCAAGAAGAGGACAGACTTCAGTTTCTTTAGCTTTGGCAATCAGAAGGCAATCTTGACAAAGAAAGTTTTGGCTGGAACCTGAAAGTTGGGGCCAGGCTGCAATTGGTTAAGGAATGAATGGGAAGTGAGGAAATACAGCGGCAAGAATTGAATATTTCAAGAAGTCTGGCTCTAGAAAGGCAGAAAATATGTAAGTAATATTTATGGGGAATGTAAGGAAGGAGGTTTTTTTTTTTTTTTTCCCTAGACATGGGAGACGTGAGCACGAGTTAGAGTAGAGGCTGAAGATTCAGGAAAGAGGAGATAATCGATGGAGCAAGGTCTCAGAAGAGATTGGCAAGGATGCTTTATGTAGGTGTTGGAGCAGGAAACTTTAAGAGAGAAGAAAATAGAGTGAAGGTATAGGTTAGTTTGTATGTGGAGTAGGTGAAGAGTGAAACTTGAGGGAGTTAACACCTAGCCTTTACTTGTTCAGTTAAATAAAGTTACTTGCTGTGTCAGTCAGGTTCTACAAGAGAAAGAACCATGAAGAGTTATACGTACATATATACATAAAGAGATTTATTGCAAATAATTGGTTTATGCAGCTGTGGAGGCTGGCTAGGCAAGTCTGAAATCTGTAGGGCAGGCCAGCAATCTGGAAACTTCCAGGCAGGAGGAGATGGTGCAGAGTCTGCAGGTGGAATTTCTTCTTCCTCAGGGAAACCTCAGTTTGGCTCTCTTTTCTTCCCTTCAGAATACGTTATTAGGTTATCAAAACCTACACTTTTAGTAACTTCATTTTATTTTTCAAAAAAGTTTTACCGCTTTATTAAAATATAATTGACAAATAAAAATTGTAACATATTTAGTGTACAAAGTGATGATTTGATGTACATAGTGAGTCCCCAAGCTCCCACTGCAGAGCACAACAGGGAGAGCCATGTCAAGGGAACACAGGGCCAGGCCTCTTGAGCAGCCCCAAGAATAGAGAGGCCTCAACCTGCACAAGCTGATGCAGTCGTCCAGGAGACAGCTGAGGTCAAATCCCTAAACAACCATCCCGACAGAACCAGTTCTCTAGTAACAGAAGACTCCCTTTTAGGCTACAGCTCATGGATTTCAAGAAAGTTTTTGGTCCAAAAAATTCAAGTCTAGCCAATGAAAGTGTGCAGTTCTTGGTGTTATCATGAATGTGGACCTGTATGTGCTGGGGAAAGACAGCAAATACAGACCAATTTTTTTTTCCTAAATTTTTGTTTATTTATTTTTGGCCGTGTTGGGTCTTGGTTGCTGTGCATGGGTTTTCTCTAGTTGTGGCGAGGGGGGGCTACTCTTTGTTGCGGTGTG